GGCTCCTGGAACCACACCAGTGAGTCAGGGAGCATTTATTGAGTGCCTGCTGTGTGCCCTTGGCTGTGTGCGGCCATTTCAGGGGGTGTGGACCAGGGTGGGTCCGAGTGGCCAGAGCCACCGTTCCAGGCTGGCCTGAGTCACCCTGCTTCTGGGTGGGAAAGGAGACTTGCTCTGTGCCAACGCTGGAAAGTTCGACCAGCCACCGAGCAGCAGAGCCAGCTTGGCTGAGGTCAGGCTGCCACGGGCCGGCTTGTGCTCCCTGGCACCGTCCTGGCACCCGCGGCCCATCCCGTGCGTCACTCGGGGCTGAGGCTGAATCACGGTCCTTCTCTCTCACCGGCTGTGCCAGCCCCTGGAGCATCTCATCTCCATTCGGGAAACACAGGCCCGTTTTAATACTCATTTAAACGCCCTTTTCTGGGAAAACCGATGATGGCAAGAAAAGCCAAGCGTCCCAAATCAGGGAAAAGGAACCTAAAACTCCTTGCCGGTCCCGCGACGGGACCGAGCTCTTTGCAGAGCGAGCTCTCCAGTAGCTCCTCCTGTGCGCTGGCTGTGCACCAGGCCTTGGCCGGAACGTTTTGTCCACGCTCTCACTTCATCCTCACCTGAGCCCTCAAAGGCAGGAGTGACACCTCCCGTTTCCAGGTGAGGGGACTGAGATGGAGTGACTTGCCTCGTGCCCCACAGCTGGACAGTAGCCGGTGGCCACTCCCAGACCTGGCTTTGACCACGGGACTCGACTGCATCCTGTATCTACAGTAGCCAGACCTCAGTAGCTCTCCACTGCCTTCCAGGTTAAGCCTGAGTTTCTGGCATTCTCTCAGGGACTCTCAGGCCTAGACTCCAGCCCTTCTTTCCCGTCTGATCTTCAGGATGTTGACCGAGAGGCCTCCGTCCAGCCAGATTGATCCAAGTTCATCCAGTCCACATCATGGTTCTCCACCTTCCCCCCACTTTGCCCTCGCAGTTGCCACTGCCTGCAATACCCTTGCCACCTCTCTGTCAAGTGATCTGTTTATTCTGTAAGGTCTGCCTGGGATTCCACCTTTTGCAAGGAGCTTCCCTTGATGTGGTGATTTTAAAATATGTCCATGAAGCCAGGCCGTGGCTCAGTGGCTAAGCATCGACCTATGAACCAGGAGGTTACAGTTCGTTTCCCGGTCAGGGCACACATCCGGGTTGAGGGCTCAATCCCCAGTGCAGGAGGCAGCCGATCAACGATGCTCTCTCATCATTGATATTTCGGTTGCTCTTGCCCTCTCCCTTTCTCTCTGAAATCAATACAAATATATTAAAAAAATAAAATATGTCCATGAATATTGTTATGCTAAGTGAGATCATACCATATAATCTCACTTATATGTGGAGTCTGATGAACAAAATAAACTGATGAATGAAATAGAACCAGAGGCATGGATACATGGAGCAGACTCATAGGTATTGGGGGTGGGGGTGGGGGCGCAGGTAGGGAGGGGACTGCATAAAAGAAGGTGAAGGGATTAGCTGGCTCCTCATTGGAACCAGCAGAGAAACCCTGAGCTGGAACTACACAACTTAGCCACTGGGAAGTCCTGACCCACAGAAATTGTCTTGAGTCACTAAGCTTTGGAGTAATTTGTTACACAGCAATAGAGAACTAATACACTTGCCCGCTCAGCCAGAAGTGCTATGCCCACTGGTCGTCTGTAAAATATCCCTGGCTACTTTGTGTCATAATTAACATCAAGTACCCTGGAAACTGGGCCCTGGCTTAGTATTTCCAGAGTCCAGTCCATGCTTTGCAGGGCTTATTAGGTTAAGTCAGTGGTCAGCAAACTCATTAGTCAACAGAGCCAAATATCAATAGTACAACGATTGAAATTTCTTTGAGAGCCATATTTTTTAAACTTAAACTTCTTCTAACGCCACTTCTTCAAAATAGACTCGCCCAGGCTGTGGTATTTTGTGGAAGAGCCACACTTAAGGGGCCAAAGAGCCACATGTGGCTCGATAGCCGCAGTTTGCCAACCATGGGGTTAGGTGAACTGATTAACCAATACCAGGGCATTGTCTAAGAATATACCTGAAATATTGTTTGATTTCCAGTTGGCACAGGTAATAGAGGAATTTGGGGGGATTCAGGAGAGCCTCACTGTCTATAACACACCAAGCCAAGGTCAGACCTGGACATGAGTTGGCCTGAATCCAGGGACTTCCTTTGGGCAACAAAGGCTGTCCTTGTGTCCCTGAACACACCCTGTCATGAAAGTGGCGGAAGGGCCTAGAGCAGGAGGTGGGGGAAGCAAAAAGGAAAAGTTTATCCTTAACCTGTAATTCAATTCGGCATGTATCCTTCAAGATCTATTTCTCTGGATGACTCATGTGTATATTTACATGCAGATATATCTGTATATCTATCAGCCATGTATCTATGCATCCATGAATCTATCTCTATCCATCCACCCAAATAGGTTTTTTACATTTAATTAAAAAAATAATGGGATCACGCTCTAGACTATTTTCCCCCCCACTTAGCCACACGTTGTAAATATTTGTGCTAACAAAATCAGCACCGATCTCCTGTCATAGTATTTGATTGCATGAGCTTTCTCTCTTGCAGTATTATTCTTTCCCTCACTGGTGGATACTTTGGCTGTCTGTGCTTTAAAAATTTTTTTGTGCCTATAAACAATGTTGTGACAAATATTCTTGCATACATATCCTTGTGTAGTTGCTCAACTATTGCTGTAGAGTACATTTCTGGAGTGGGTTTATTGGACCAAAACATGGGACCGTTCTAGACTTTGGGCTCACAGTGCCCAATTGCCCTTCAGAAAGGTGTGCCAGGTGCACATGTACCTGTTGCCCCTGTGTCCTTCGCTCCATATCCTTGCTGGCACTGGGTTTTCTCTTTAATCTTGGCCAATCAGATAGATGGAAGATGTTATCTTAATTTCTTTAATAACCAGGAAGGTTGGGCATGCGATTCCATTGTATGAGTCTGCGGTAATTGTTTAACCATGAGTTGGTGGGCATTTGGGTTGCTTCCACTTGTTGGATATTATGAATGTTGCTGCTGTGAACATTGGTGTACAGGTTTCGTGTAGACATATGATCTTATTTTCCTTGGGGGTATATTGCCCAGGAGTGGAGTTGCTAAATCAAATGGTGAATCTTTGCTTAACTTTGTGAGGAACTGCCAAACTGTTTTCCCCAGCGGCTGTACCGTTTTATATTCCCACCAACAGTATACGAGGGTTCTAATTTCCCTTTATTCTTGCCAATACTTGTTGTTGTCTTTTTGGTTCTAGCCATTCCAGTGGGTGTAAAGTGTTCTCTCATTGTGGTTTTGTTTTGTATTTCCCGATGATTAGTGATGTTGAGCATCTTTGCATGTTCTTGTTGTCTCTTTGCATAACTTCTTTGGAGAAATATATTCTAGGTACAAATCTCTTATCAGACGTAGGATCTGCAAATATTTTCTCCTGTTCTGTGGAGTGTCCATTGAAGTACAAACACGCTTCATTTTGGTGATGTCTAATATGCTGTTCTTTTTTAAAACAATGCACATTCGCACATGGGGTTTCCAGACCCTGCGACCTGAACTGCTGGTGGGTCAGAGACACTCTGCCTTTGACAGGTCGCTTCTGCCTGGGAGCGGCCATCGGGAGCCTGCCGCCGGGCTGGGTCTCCCCAGGTGCCCCCACGAGGGACCCTCCCATGGCGGGTCTCTCCTGAGGACTCTGAGGGCAGCTGGGCTCCAGGTGGCCCTGGCTGTTGATGCCTGCAGAGGAAGGGACAGTGTTTGGATGCTCTAGCTCTGCACAGAGAAGTGACAAGGACACACTGGGTCCTCCTTATCTCTGCTTTCTGTTCTCCTCTCTGTCTGGGCACTCGTGAACTCACGGCTAGCCAGGGCCCAGATGTGGGCAGTGGTGTTCAGACAAGAAAGTGTGGCTGTTTCCACCGAATGGGAAGTGGGGAAACCCGTGTTTATTTAGTTAGGGTAGAACTTTCAGCCCCTCACACCTTCATCCCACTTCCTCCTCCTCCTTTTGGTCTCACCTGGAGTTGACAAAGGTGGTATCCAAGCAGGAGACTGATTTGATTACATAGTTTGAGGTTTTTAAAACAGCCCATCCGGGCCCCTGGAGGCTGCTGCTCAGTGGTTTCCAGGTTGTGCTTCTCCAGCTGCAGGCCCCGGGCAGCCTCAGGCAGGGACGGCATATCCAGGGCCCAGGCCCGACCTGCTGCCCTGGCCAGGGTGGCCCTGCTTCTATTGCCTTAAAAAAAAAAATCCTCACCCAAGAAGTGAAAATACTTTTCCCATTGATTTTTAGAGAGAATGTGGAAGGGAAGGGGAGGGCGAGAGAAGCCGGGGGAGAGAAAATCATCCATGTGACTCATCAATTGGTTGTTTCCTGCATGTGCCCTAACAGGGTGCGGGAATCGGACCTGCAACCCAGGTGACGTTCCTTTGACCGGAGTTGAACCTGAGACCCTCTGGTGCGCAGGCCAGTGCTCTAACCATTGAGCAACCCCTATTTCTTTTCTGTATCAGGGTTCCAAGTGAGAGTTTGTAGAAGGAGATGGAAGGGCTGTGTTGGCAAAGCAGTTGGAAAACTGCTCGTGGTGGATGCCTTGGCCTCACTGTTGGGCTGAAAACACCCCAAACACGAACCCTGCTGGAGGCCGACTCCCATGGTTCCCTGGGGAACTCGGATTTTCCCAGAGGCCCCCACGCTCCTCTCTGCTGACGGAGACGGCGTGGCTGCTCTCCCCGTGGCACTGGCCAGCCTCCGTGTTTAATCTTTCCCTTTGTTGTGTGGGGTGTTCTGGCCCCGCAGCTCTGCGAAGGCAGAAATCCAATTACCTTCCCTCTTGATCCAAATGCACGTTGTCTCCGGGAAAGCCCTGGGCTGAGGAAGCTTTTAGACGGTCGGTCCGTGAGGCGGTTTTCGCAGCAGGCCTCCTGGCTCACACCCACCTTCCTCTCCCCTCTTTGTGTCTTGCAGTCGGCGGAGTTCTTCGAGATGCTGGAGAAAATGCAGGTGAGCATCCACCCCCAAGGGGGAGAGCCCACCCCGGGGGAGGGGGGAGGTGGAAGAAGTGCTGCAGTGACTTCGGAGGACACAACACCAGGCAGAACCCACGGGCAGAACGTGGGCACCTTGGAGGGAGGGGCAGAGAAGAGAGAACTCACCGTCCCCATGGCCCGGACAGCCCGAGGCCATTTCCACACTGAGCGGCACTGTGGCTTCAGACCAGGGAGAAGATAAAAAACAGAAACCCAGCAGTGTGGACGGACAGGTTGCCGTCAGCCCCAGGCCGGGGGAGAGTTTGAGGTGCTCCTGGAACGGCCGGAAAGAAAGCCCCTTCGGGGGGCCTCACCCCTGTCCCGGAGGCAGAGCGGAGAGCGGAGGGCGGAGGGCGAGGGGCAGACCTGAGTTCAAACTCCGCCTCTAACGCTGGCTTGCCAAATTCCTCCTTTTTAACCGCTGGCTCCTGTGTTTTGTGTCTACTAACAGACCGCGCTCTCCCCTCGCTCTGACACCAAATGTGTGGTTGTGTTCCCCAGACAATGCCGAGAGCCCGCTGGGTTCCACGCAGTTCTGACGCTGTCTCCCTGGAGGTAGTGTCAGCTCCCACCGGGCACTCAGATGCCAGTCCCGAGTCCAGGTTGCCACCTGGGCTTCCGACCGGTGCACCGGCTATACGTAGGAGGTCCCTACCACCCCCTTTTGCAGTTCAGTTAGTTTGCCGAAGTTGGCTCCCAGAACCCAGGAAAACGGTGTACTTACCACATTGCCAGCTTATGGGAAGAAGGATGCAACTCGGGAGCAGCCAGCGGGAAGAGAAGTGTAGGCAAGGCCTGTGGGAGGGGCCCAGAGCGGCCATGCCCTCTGATGCCCCACTCTCCCCACATCTCTGCGGGCACACCAACCCCGGACGCTCCCCAAACCCCGTCCTTTTGGGTCTGATGGAGACTTCATTACTTAGGTTTGATGGATAAAATCACCGGCTGTGGGTGATGGTCTCAGCCTCCAGCTTCTATCCCCGCCCCCCTCGAGTGGGAGTGGCCGGTCAGCTCCCCTCCTTAGGAAAGTCCCAGAAGCCACCTCATGAACATAAACTCACTCACACAAACTCCTGGGGAACACTCCTTTCGCCTTTATGGCCCCGGAGCTGTGGCAGGAACCAAGGACGGAAGACCAGATCCTAGAACAAAACTGCTCCCGAGTGCTCTCCTTGCTCTTGTCACTTGGGAAATCCCAAGGGTTTTAGGAGTTCCGTGCCAGGAACGGGATAAAGACCAATATATATATATATATATTTCTTATAATAAATCACTGTCACAGCCTCTGGAAAGATAGAAGAACGAAAATGTCTACTTGCATTGTTTCTGGGATAAAATGAGATACCGTATTTTTCGGACCATAAGACGCACCAGTTTTTAGAGAAGGGAAATGAAGAAAAAAAGATTCTGAAACAAATAGTGTCCTAAAATATTTTATGTGCATTAAAACCCAACATCACAGTCATAAACACATGTAATCAACCCTGTAAAGTAAACAGCAGCATTTAGAACCATTTTAGAGCCGGGCAAGCACACAGAGACCACACAGAGCCGGGCAAGTAAAAAAACTTTTTTTTAAAAGTATATGTGTAGGCTATATTTGGACCATAAGACGCAGGGACTTTTCCCCCCCACTTCTGGGGGAAAAAAAGTGCGTCTTATGGTCCTAAAAATACGGTAATTTCTATAAATACTTGGTGGGCAGTGCATAGAATCCGTGTTTAGTGGGGGGCCTCTGTAATTGCTCTCAGGAATATGGGGAGAGGTCCAGAAGGTAAGAGTGGAAAGAGTGGCAAGAACACATGGATAATAGCGCCTATACACTGAGTGGCCAGATTATTATGATCTCTGAACGCATACTAATCTGGCCGCTCAGTGTATTTGTATCTCAAACGGGTACCAAAAGTATTCTAGACTTTTGCTGGACATGAGCCACCTATTTGCCCTGAGCTTTCTATCAGCCAGTGCAAAGTGGAAAACTGATCAGGTGCACGATTTATAGTGTTTTTGATATCAAATAAATGAGGTACTCAAGAGAGTACACTGAGTGGCCAGATTATTATGTGTTTCAGAGATCATAATAATCTGGCCACTCAGTGGATGTTAAACACTGGTCTGGGGTAAGAGATTGACAGGTGTTATCTCATTTCTTCTTGACAAGGCCCCCAGGAGGCAGGTATGTTGTTGTTATCACCATCATCCCCATTTTACAGGTGAGAAAAGTGGGGCACAGAGATATTAAATGAAAACTTTCAAGGGCTCATGGCTAGCAAGTAGCTCCAGAGCCAGAAGGCATAGTCATCCTGTCATGCTTCTTACCTGAATTATCAGAATCTCCAGGCGCAAGGAAGGAAGGGTCTATAGCAGTGGTCGGCAAACTGCAGCTCTCGAGCCACATGCGTCTTTTTAGCCCCTTGAGTGTGGCTCTCCCACAAAATACCACGGCCTGGGCGAGTCTATTTTGAAGAAGTGGCGTCAGAAGAAGTTTAAGTTTAAAAAATTTGGCTCTGAAAAAAAAATTTCCGTCGTTGTACTGTTGATATCTGGCTCTGCTGACTAATGAGTTTGCTGACCGCTGGCCTATAGGAATGGTCTGGAATAGGAGGAAAGGCTCGCAGGGTGCCCACTGCCGTCCTGAGACGCAGGCGGAGCTTCTGAGAGCGCTGCAGTGAACAAGCCAGATCCTCCCCGGAAAGCAGGTCTCCCTCAGGATGGGGAAGGGGAGGGCTGGTTTGAGAGAAAAATACTCGTAGTGGTTGTGTCATTATCACGAGCGAGTTATTAAGACCCGCCTCTGTGCCAGGAGAGTGTGGACTCCCAGCTAATGAATATGCATTTGTATGCATTTAGGGGACTTAGAACCAGGGGGCGGGCACAGGGGTGGCGGGTGCCTATGTAACGGAGCGCCCCGTCCGCTGGAGGAGAGCCGGATCTCACCCGAGCCCGTGGAGTCGTGGCAGTCTGGGCGGCTGGCAGGAGGTCCGCAGCGCACCCTGCCTTCTCTCCGGTTTCTCCACGACTGCCCGTCCCTCGCCCCCAGGGAGCACCTGTTCCTTTGTTCGAGCACATGATCCAGCCGGCCTTGTGCTGTCCTGTTGTTTGGGGGCCGCGGGCTGGACCTCTTAGCTCCATCGGGAGCCTCTGCAGGGCAGGCGTCTGGCTGTGGCTCCCCCGTGTCCTCACGGCAGCCCACACCACGGGCGGCTGCCGACTCCGTGTCAGTGGAGACTTCAGTGTTTAGGTCCCGACCACGTGCCCACTGGGCCCAGCCTCTGTGGGGCCGGGGTTTCCAGCTCCTCGGTATGTAGGGAACAAATCTCACATGGGCATTCTGACCCCCGAGTGTGGGTGCCATCCGGCCTCCAGCTGCAGTGTGGGCCTGAAGCTCCGTGGGCAGGTGCCCAGCCCTCTGTGAGTTGCGAGGAGCAGAAACGAAGACCCCAGAGCAGGCGTCTTCAAACTACGGCCCGCAGGCCACATGCGGCCCGCAGAGGAGTCTGATCCGGCCCGCCAGGTTTTTTGGGCAGTGAGCGCAGCCGAGGTGTTACAGTAGGAATTAGTAGTTCATATAGTCCGGCCCTCCAGCTCTCTGAGGGACCGGGATCTGGCCCCCACTTTAAAAAGTTTGAGGACCCCTGCCCCAGAGGCTAGGATTGTGAAGAAGGGCACAGGTCCCGTGCAGCACCGTGTTGGGTGCCCTCTGTTCTGGGTTCAAGTTCTAACGCTGACCATCAGGAGCGGAGTGACCGTGGTCAAGCCGTCCCACCCCCCTGAGCCCCAGTTTCTTCATGGCGGGGCAGGGGGAGGAGGAGAGGTGATGAGGGGAGGGGACAGCCGTGGCTCTGTCCAGGCGGAGCGGAGGGACAGGAGGAGGTTTGTTCCCAGCCCAGGGGCTGTTCCCAGGCGGGGATGACTCATGCAGGACACACAAAGCAAACTGACGTCAGGCCCTTCCCCACCCGCCCAGTGTGCCTCCCTGGACAGGGTCTGCGGGCCAGCCAGGTGGTTTGCTCCCTGTGTGGGGAGAGGAGCACCTGCCCAGTGGGAGGGACCCCCACACCCAGCTGACCAGGCCCGCAGGGTGACTCAGCCCAGAGCGGCGGGAGGAGGAGCCGCCGTCTAAGTCTGCCAAGCGAGCAGGAACCCTGAGCCTGGGGCCTCGGCGATTTGGCCATGCACTTGGTGGACAGATGGCCCTTCCACGCGCTGTCTGTGTGACACCCGGCAGGCAGCTTCCGCCCTGGACCTCGGTTTCCTCTTCGGTAAAAAGGCGCTGAGGGCCTCGGAGGAGCCGGCAGCAGAGGGAGCGCGCTGTGGACGGCTCCAGGCCCTGGTCTTAGGATGAGGCAGCAGCTGCTTCCTGACCCTCTTCTCTCCTGTCTGTCCCACCGAGGATGTGGACTGAGTCACGTGCCTGTGGAAAGGCAGCCTGCCCTCCGCCCACAAGCCCAGTTAAGTGGGAACTGGACCGGACGGTCCAGGCCCTGTCCCCGCAGGGAGTCTTCCCGATGTCGCAGGGGAGCCGAGTAACCCAGGCCCCGCTGGTGTCTGCTCCTTGAGACGGGGTGGGCGGGTGTTAGAATCCTCGTTTCACAGAGGAAACTGGGAGCGCTACAGAGGCTTAGCATGGTGAGGCGTCACTAACAGCAGGGCAGTGGCAGGATGAGGACCAGCCTCAGGCCACCTGCCTGCTGCCCACCGGCCCTCCCACCAGCGAGGCGGTGGAGCTGGTGTGGCATGAGGTCCAGAGTCTGGCTCTGACTCCCACAGACGTGGGTTCCCTTTCTGCCCCTCACCTCATCCCCTGGGAGACTGGGGGCGATATTTCAACACCATGAGGAGGACACTGCCCGCCTCGTGACAGCAGTAAGTCATAGCCTTTACTATATGCCGGTCAGTCGCTCTTCCCCAGGCTTAACCGGTTCTCCACATGTTACCTTCACCACTGTCAGAGAGGTTTTGTGACTTGCCCGAGGCCATAAGGTCGTAAAAGACAACAGTGTTAGGATTTAAACCCTAGCGATCTGGCTGAGTCCATGCTCTTAACCCCCTGCCCCGCTGCCTCGAACGGGCTGCTGGGAGGTCTGAGTGTGACCAGCTGTGTGACTTGCAAGGGCCCAGCCGGTGGCAGCCCTTTGCTGTGATTGCCACGGACCCCCCGCTGAGGCAGGTGCTCCCAAAAGACTCCTCCGTGCCGTCTCTGTTGTGTGACCCTTGCGTGTCCATGGATCCTCTTTTCCTTGTTTCTGCAGGGGATCAAGCTGGAAGAGCAGAAGCCGGGACCCCAGAAGAACAAGGTGGGCTGGGTGGGCGAGGTGGCAGCCAGGTGGGCCCCGTGAGGGGGCCGGGTGAGAGCAAGGCAGGGGGAGCGGCCAGCATGCTGGGGCCCGCTGTCTTACACCATCGAACTCTGGTTTTCGCCAGGAGCCACCGAAGTGGCTGCACCTTGTTGACGAGGGCACGGTGAGCAGGAAGCGAGGCTGTTGGGCAGCTTCGGAGCAGGCTGGGGTGGAGGCCTCGGGGGAGACCCCAGGTCTGCAGGGTGGCCTGGCTCCCGCACGCCTGCTCCTGTGGGCGAACCACAGTGTGTGCAGGGGTGTCAGGCTCTGCTCCAGGCTCCCACAGGCAGGCAGCTGTCAGCTTCAGAGTCTGTTTCCGAGGCCAGGAGTGCAGTTTCTCCCCCGGAGGTCAGCCCCATGGCCCGGGGAGGGGGGACCAGGCCCATCTCCCTGTGGGAGCCTCCTGGGAGAGCAGCTCGTGTCAGGATGCGTGTGAGGTCCAGCGCCTTGTGTCCTGCGTCTTCCTTCTCTGCACTGCGTCTTCCGCTGCCCCTCTGCTCTCAGGCTCTGTCCGTTCCGGGGAGAACTCGAGAGAAGCCGGAGCCCAGGCTGCCTCTAGGCTGTCCACCCGCCGATGCGCCCGGAGCCCCGGTGCGGCCTGCCGGGCCCCCAGCACCTCCCCCCGGGCCTGGGGGAGGGAAGGGAAAGAGTGATCGAGCTTCAGGGCCCGTGCTGGGACTGACAGTGGCATTGTGTGTTTGTCTTGCAGGACGACTATATCCCATACCCCAGCATCGACGAGGTAGGAGCCCCCTGGATCCCGTCTCGGGGCCAAGGCTGGGGGAGCTGATGGTGATGATGGTGATGGTCCCTCCGCTGCCCCATGGTGGGGAGAGCCTTGGGACTTGAGGGCCTGAGACTTTCCCATTTGTGACTTCAGCTTTTTTTATTTTTTATTTTATTTTATTTATTTATTTATTTTTTTTTTTTTTACAGAGAGGAAGGTAGAGAAATAGAGAGTTAGAAACATCGATGAGAGAGAGAGACATCAATCAGCTGCCTCCTGCACACCCCCAGCCAACTGGGGATGTGCTTGCAACCAAGGTACATGCCCTTGACCAGAATCGAACCTGGGACCTTTCAGTCCAAAGGCCGATGCTCTATCCACTGAGCCAACCGGTTTCCACAACTTCAGCTTTTTAAAAAACATTAGTCCTAGCTCGTTTGGCTCAGTGAACAGAGTGTAGGACTGTAGACTGAAGGGTCCCAGGTTTGATTCCGGTTAAGGGCATATGCCTGGGTTACAGGCTCGATCCCCAGTTGGGGGGTGCAAGAGGCAGCCAATCAATGATTCTCTCTTATCATGGATGTTTCTATCTCTCCCTCTCCCTTCTTCTTTGAAATCAATAAAAAATGTATTAAAAAAGACAAAAAATAAAAATAAATCAGGAGTGCCGAAGGTGGAGATATTGTGGATCTTGTTACTATCTTGGATTCACATATGGGGGTCCCCCCTGTGGAGTAGCTCAGATTGGGGGGATACCACCATTGATGCCCCTCCACTCCCCCTGCAGACCAGGGCAAGACTCTCCCTTTGCCTCCAGGTTGTGGAGAAGGGAGGCCCGTACCCCCTGATTGTCCTGCCCCAGTTTGGGGGCTACTGGATCGAGGACCCGGAGACCGTGGGCACGCCGACCTCGCTGGGCAGCAGCATCTGCGAGGAGGAGGACGAGGACGGCCTCAGCCCCAGCACCTTCGGCTACAAGCTCGAGTGCAAGAGTGAAGCCAGGGCCTACCGCAGGCACTTCCTGGGCAAGGTGAGCCAGGCCTGGGCGAACGCGGCTGCGGGGTGTGTGTGTGTGTGTGTGTGTGTGTGTGTGTGTGTGTCTGACTGGGGAACCCAGCGTCCCTCCCCAGCGTCCCCTTCTCTGCCCTGTCCCCCCTCCCTTGCAGCCTGCTTCTGTCCTCCTCGCAGAGGTCTGCCTGGCTCTGCTCCTGGGCAGGGGGCGAGGGTGTGCAGGAGCCCAGGGGGCTCGGTGTGATGGGTCCTTGTGGGACCACCACAAGGAGGCGGTGGAATAGGCTGTGTTTGGGGTGGAGGAGGGTGGAAGGAGAACATACATCTCACTCCTTGGAGGCCTCTGTGTCCGTGTAAATAGTACAGATCCCTCGTGGCCTCCCTCAGCCAGGTCCCGGGTGCTCGTGCTGGGATGTGCTCTGAGCCTCTGATTGCTTAACCGGGACAGTTCCGTTCCTTTAAACACTTCCCGGCCTTCAGCCTTGCCAGGTTCCTGAAGTCCCGAGGGCAGGCTCCGGAAGTCTCCAGAAGTCTCCGGCTCGGCCCCTCAGCTTTGCTGAGTCTCCCCGGAGGAGATGGATCAGGAGCGCCCTGTCTCCCCGCCGTGTTCACATGCAGAGTCCAGGCCCCGCCCTAATAGCAGGCTGGGTGCGCCCCTGAGCTGGGGGAGACCCACTGGGAGACCCACTGTCCACGTGGTGGAGGTGCCAGGCCCTGCCCTTCATTGTTCTCCCAGATCGCCTGAACTGGCAGGGGCTGCTCCCTGGGCCAGGGGTGGACTCAGTGTCCTGTGGGGAAGCACTGAGCTTCACCAAGGCGTGTGTGGGTTTGAATCCTGGATCTGCCGCCTCTAGCTGTGTGACCCTGGGGAGTGACTTAAACCGCCCTGTACATGTTTTCTCCTTCTGCCCCCCTAAAGTTGTGGTCTGGGTTACAGGAGATAATGGGCACTAAGCAATTAGCCCAGGGCCTGGCACAGACAGCCTGAGGATTTGGTCACTGGAGCCAATTACTGTGATCCTCCTCCTGCTCCTCCTCCTCCTCCTCCTCCTCCTCCTCCTCCCCATCTATAGCAGCCACAGCTGGCATATCCTGCTCTTCCTCCTTGCTGTGGGGCTTCTCACTCCTGGTGAAGGAGGGGATTTGGGGGGCTGTGCCTGGAAGGCCCCCTCCTCCCTGCTAACACCCGATTTCTGCTTCTAGGATCATCTAAACTTCTACTGCACCGGGAGCAGCCTGGGGAACCTGCTCCTGTCCATCAAGTGCGAGGAGGTGGAGGGCATTGAGTACCTGCGGATTATCCTCAGGTGGGGCTGCTGCACGGTTGGAGGCCACACCCCTAGTGGTGGGGACCCAGAAATACCAGTCTGACCAGTCGTGTGTGTGTGTGTGTGTGTGTGTGTGTGTGTGTGTGTGTGAGAGAGAGAGAGAGAGAGAGTGTGTGTGTGTGAGAGTGTGTGTGTGTGTGAGTGTGTGTGTGTGTGAGTGTGTGTGTGTGTGTGTTTGTGTGTGTGTATGGAGGAGTGAGGGGGGGGATAGGGGAGACAGACCTGGCTGTGTTCTATGTTGGGGTTGCCAGGCAGGAAGACCAGGTGTTTTTGCCAGCTGACTGACTGGGAGTCGGAGTGGCATCCTGGCCTCAAGGTCAGGTAGACCTTACCCTCACCTGCCTGTCTCTGGCTGTGAGGAAGGCAGAGAGGGAGAATAGCGACGGCTCATTTTGCAGAGACTCAGTCCCACGTGGTCCTGGGAGAGGGTTTGCCGGGACTGCCCCCGGCACGCATCCAGGCGGGAACTATAGAGCCCAAAGCATTCGGGTCCTCAGGATGTGGTGGCAGCTGGAACAGGAGCACCGGTTTACAGCTAAGCCAGGGGCCTCTCTGAACTGGTTTCCATTTGGTTCGACTAACCCAGTGGTTGGCAAACTCATTAGTCCACAGAGCCAAATATCAACAGTACAACGATTGCAATTTTTTTTGAGAGCCACATTTTTTAAACTTAAACGTCTTCTAACGCCACTTCTTCAACATAGACTCGCCCAGGCCGTGGTATTTTGTGGAAGAGCCACACTCAAGGGGCCAAAGAACCGCATGTGACTCGCGAGCAGCCGTTTGCCGACCACGGGACTGACCTGTCCCATGGAACCTCCTTTGTACCAGGAGCTGAGACAGGGGCTTGGGCTGCAGCGGTGACTGAGCGGTGGTGCCTCCTCTCTGAAGGCGAGAAGACGGGATTTCAGTGTGTGGCACAGGGGCTGTGTCGGTGACAGGCTCAGGGTGCTGTGAGCACAGCGAGGCCGTCTCATTCCTCTCTGTCCCTGGGCCAGAGGGAAGCCAGGACGGCCAGTGTGAAGGCCGAGGCTGGTGCTTGGCAGGGAGCTGTGAACCTGACAGGCTCCCCATCCCTACTTGTTGAATCAAATTGGAAGTCCTTGAAGGAAAAGAATAATAATATTTGGAAAAAAGCAGTAACAAATTTTTTTCTGCCTAAATTTTGAGATAAATAAGGGAGAGGTGGGGCGGAACCAGGAAGTTGTAAGCAAAAATCACTGGAGAGCATCTGGCCTGCCCATTGGTGATGCTGCAGAGAAGCCGGGGAGATGTGGAGGTGCTGCTGCAGGCGGCCAGCGGCCGTGGACAGGGAGGCTGCTGAGCCGAAGGATCTGCTGCACCCCGAGCTAAAGGAGAGCCTGTTGCGGGGAGAAGGGAGTCCTCAGGGCTGAAAAAGCAAGAAAAAGAAGAAGAAAAGGAAGACGAGGAAGAAGAAAAGGATGATGAGGAGGAAGAAGATGAAGAAGATGAAGAAGCTGGTTCTTGCACAATTTTTTTTCTTGTCTATAAAGCATTTAACCTCCGGTACACAACTCACTCCTTTTAAAGAAAAAAAAAATTGAGAAGTAAGGCTGTGTAAGATTTGTTTTTAAACTGTACTATATATATATTTATTTATTTATTTTTGTATAGTTAACACACTACCGAATGTATCTTCAGATAGCCCTGCCCTGGTGCTATTTTCCTTCTTTCTTTTCTAAAATATGTTTTTATTGATTTAGAGTGAGGGGACAGGAGAGGGAGAGAGAGAGAGAGAGAGAAACATTGATTGTCTGCCTCCTGCATGCCCACTATCAGGATTGAGCCTGTAACCCGGGTGTATGTCCTGACTGGGACCTCTCACTACATGGGACCAGGCACAACCAACTGAGTTAAAGGAGATGATGGGCACTAAGCAATTAGCCCAGTCAGCCAGGGCCCTGGTGGTGTTTTCCATAGCCACTAGCCTTGCCAAGTGCAGGATGGGAGTCATAAATTGGCATGGAAATTTGAAGTGAGTTTTTGTTGGTGCCCAGCTCTAATTAGTGATATATGGGAAAGGCGGTTTTTCATCTTAATTTGTCTCTAATGCAGCTTATGCAAAATAGTTGTTCTGTTAATGGAATATAATTTTGTAATTGCAAAAAATGATTGCAGCTTTTTAAAAAATATATTTTTATTGATTTCAGAGAGGAGGGAGAGGGAGAGCGAGATAGAAACATCAGTGATGAGAGAGAAGCATTCATCGGCTGCCTCCCGCACACCCCCAACTGGGGATCGAGCCCACAACCTGGGCCTGTGCCCTGACCAGGAATTGAACCGTGACCTCCTGGTTCATAGGTCGACTCTCAACCCCTGAGCCACCCCATCCGGGCAATTGCAGCTATTTTGTTGACATTCTGAATGCTTCTAAGTAAATGCAATTAAAAAAAAATTAAAACAAAACGAAGCCTTCTCTCATCTCTCCCTCCCTCCCTCCCTCCCTCCCTCCCTCCCTCCCTCCCTCCCTCCCTTCCTTCCTTCTTTTTTTAAACTGACGTTCACCTGGCTAAAAATTTGTAAAGCAAGAAGAATCACTTAACTCTTTGGAGCCAATTTTCTGAGGGAGCAATATCTGAACCCTCATGTCCAGACAGGATTTCGAGATAGGTGAACCTCTGTAAAGAAAATTACTTTCTTTCTTCATAAAAATCAGACCCAGATTGGCAGGATCTCTGAGTAAGATGACAGTTGAATATAAGGGTCTAACCTCCTTTTTCTACTGCCGTATCCTATCTGAAATGTTGGCATCAAAGTGAAAACTAGAGGAAGATGTCAGGAATGTAACATGCTGATTTTTTTTGGTTAATCTGTGGGCAGTTAGGACTATAATGTGGGTGAGATTGAGAGCTGGACCGCATCTCCCCTTCCTTAGAAAGCAGTGTCACGTGGAAACACTGACATTGGAGATCCTGGGGGAGTCCCCTACTTTTCAGAAGTGAAGGTGAGTCCTGGCACAGCCGGGGTCTTTCCACATGGAACCATTTTTGCTGTTTTGAGCCAACAGCATTGGAAGTCATTGCCATGGGAGCCCAAGGGCAAGCTCAGATGTGGCTCTCCCACAGACAGCCAGTGGGAGGGAGGTGGAGAGAAGCCTTATACCAGCTAGGGGTGGGACAGTCCCATCGTGTGCAGACGTAAAAAGTTGGCCCCATGGCCGGGCGGTGTTAACAGACACAAAGAAGGAATTATGCGGAGATGAAATTCCCCCGCTGGCGGTGGCTCCTGTCCCAGCTTCTTCCTCCTTCCTCGTGGGCTTCTGGATTATTTAATTGATGTCTCATAACAACCAGCTCTGCAGCCTAAAATCTGAGAAGAGTATTTTAACAGCCTCTGTACGTGCCGTGAGAGTAACCAAGAAGAAGCTACCCACAATTTGGAAACAAAGAACAAACCAGAATCAATTTCTTCCTTTTCAAGTTGACATATGAAGAAGGAAGAGGAGGAGGAGAAAAAGAAGATCCCCACAAAACAGTGAAAGAAAAGTTTCTGCATCTAAAAACGCATAACCTGGCCCTGGCTGGTGTGGCTCAGTTGGTTGGAGTGTTGTCCCATACCCCAAAGGGTGGTGGGTTCGATTCCTAGGTTGTGGGTTCGGTGTGGGGCAATTGATCCATGTTTCTTTCTCACATCAGTGTTTTTTTTCTCTCTCCCCCTTCCTCTTTCTAAAACACACACACACCCAATTAAAAAAAAATGAAAAGACCGTAGCCTAGCATTCAGAAGGCAGGGCAATAATAGTGTTTTAGAAAGGATTTATTATAGGAAGCCAAGTAAAATTTACTTGCTAACTTTGTATATTCAGCAAACTTCTTGAAAAAATAAGCTGTATGAGAGAAAAGACAAAAGATAATGGAAGGCAACGAAAATGAGACAAAAGGGTTGCTGCTGAAATGAAAGAAATAATATAAGTAAACTAAAAATGGCCCCAAAGAATTTTCAATGGCATCAGAAGCAGTAAAGAACAAAATCTATGCTGAGCCTTTTTATTGTTAACAGTATATATTATAATATAGTATATATATATTTAGATATATATATATACATACATATATACACCTATATATGTATATACACATATATGTATATATAATGATTAAAATACGCAGAAATTCACAGAATAAAATTACAGTGATAGATTCAAACACACTTCTTATCACTTACAGATCAACACAACTTATCACAGATAGAAAATGAGAGGACTTGGATAATCTCAGTATTATTTATGTGAATTATATATATTGATATGTATTCGTATCTATCAAAATATATAATCCACATAAATAATAATGAGATTATCAAACTTTGACCCTCTAACAGAGATTTTGACTGCTTTTCCAGTGCTTATGGAATATCCACACATTGATTGTAAGGAGATCAGTGGTTTTCTCTGAATGTGCTGCAGCAGTCATCTTAGAGAAAAGTGAAAAACAAACAAGACTCAGACTTCTAGGCTCAGACCATTTATAAGTTAATAAAGCCCAGCCAGTGTGGCTCAGTGGTTGAGGATTGACCCATGAACTAAGAGGTTCCTGGTTTGAGTTCCAGTCAGGGCACATGCCTGGGTTTTGGACTTGATCCCAGTAGGAAAAAAGAGGTAGCCAAATGTTTCCATCTCTTTATTCCTCTGCCTGCCTCTCTCTTTCAAAATTAAAACACACACACACACGTTTTTTTAAAATGACAATAAAAATTTAAACACGCACATACATATACAGTATATTTGAATATAAATATTTAAGATATATAAAGACATTAATAGCATATATTCCTATTCCTTTTTTATTTCTATGATAGAATTCTATAGAACATTGTTCTGTAACATACTTCTCTTAATATATCTAGAGTTCTTTCTAGATTAGTACATGAAGAAGCTAGCTTGTTAATTCCTTTTACTGCTGCATAGTATTCCATTACATGGACGTGAAATAATTTATTTAATAGATCTCCTATTAATGGCCACTCTCAGTATTTTGCTGCAATAATGCTGTAATGAATATCCTGGTACAAATTGTGTGGTTTAAAATAATTTCTCAGAAGTGAGTTGGCTGGGTCAAAACATAAATGCATTAGTGTTTTAATAGATATTGCCAAATAGCCTGCTGTAGGAGGTCTATAAACTTGAACCTTCACCAGTAATGCATCAGAGTACTTATTTTCCCAAAGCCACTCCAACAAAATATTTTGTCAAGCACTTGGATTTTTGCCAATCTGACAAGCAAAAACAGTATGTTAATGCAGTTTAAATTTACAACAATTTTACTGAATTATGTTGGGCATCTCTTCATATATTTAGGGAACACATGTATTTATTTTCTGTACAGTGTATTTATAACCTTTGCTTCTTTTAAAAATGGAATTGTCAGTCCAAATTTCTATTTTTAAAAATCTTTCAGGTAATTCTTGATAGCATGTGGATTTAGGAACCAATCTCTTGAGGCATAAAATAAATCTATATAAATTTCAAAAGCAGATACTTTGCCAAACATATTTGCTTTATAATTCGATATATTGTAGCTATTCAACAATGATTGCTGCTATTATTATCATCAGTATTATTACCTAAATGGAATAAGAGGAAGGAATTAAGGATTAAGGCCAACAAATAAATTAGAAGTAAAATGAGCACAAGACTTGATGTAGAAATCTAGGCTACAGATTTATATGTGGTGTAGAAAAAGACACATTTCATTTGGGAGAAAACAACAACAAAATAGGTAACTAGCTAGTCAAATATAGATAAACATAAAATAAAAATCTACAAGATTAGGCATTAGGAGAGGCATATAACTACAGATGTGAAGAAGATTAAAAAATTACTAATAGATATTATATTCAATCCACATTATTATAGTGGAAGTTTTATTTGAAACAGATGCCTTTCTAGGAAAGCATGCTCATTTAACACGAGATTAGAAACCTGAACAAAAATTATGTAATAAATAGAAAAATTTGCAAGGTATTCTCTCTCCAAAAGTTTCTGGGTCTGGCTGGTTTGCAGGTCGTAGTTTTAAGCTCACAAGGAACAGATTTCATGCTGGCTGCTTAAACTGCTCAAGAGAAACAAATATGAAAGCTTCCCAATGAATTTAACAATGCTTAAGAGATTCTCATGAACAATATTAGTCCAAGGAAAAGGGAAAAAGAAAGGAAGGAAAATAGGGCCCAATATTCCTTAGGAAGATAGGAGATTCTAAATAAAATACCAATTCCAGCAACTCAACTCTAAGCTGATCTTTGAGGATTAATTCGAATATAATTCACTATAGCCAACAGAGAGTTACTTTAGGAATGCAGAAGTGGTTGATATTAGGAAAGCATTTATCCGCTCAGTGCTTATTTAACCAAAGCATAACAATGCATGCCAGACTTTTCCTAAGGAGAGGGACATGTGCGGCATAAGCTCTTACCTGGCTATAGGAAGCATTCTGTTCCCATTACATATTCTTATTCCTTCTTCTGACTCACCTTCTCCTATGGACAAGGGTTATTATTGGCTTGGGAGGGTGATCCAAAGATAGATGGTCTGGGAGAAGTGAAAGAATGTGGTGGAGTGTGTGTGTACAGGTGTATACACAGCTGTGAATGTGTGTAAGGTTGAATGGTCATGCTGGAAAGATTAAGAAAAAAAAAAAAAAAAGGGCCAAATCATGAATAAACTCTATCTAGGAACTTAGAGTTTAACCCTGTGAGCCAATGGGAGAGCTCCTGAAAAGAACATCGTGCCCAGACTTGCACTGTGGGATGAATGTTGGCCAGAGTCAGGAGGATGGCTTGAAGGGAAGGCTAAGCCAGCAAGCAGCAGGCAGATGAGTCAGGAGGCTGCCTTGATGAGTCAGGTGATGAGTCAGGTGACTGGCATATATTAGGAATGGTGCCTCACGAGCTGTGCTATCCAATGGCCCCGATGGGAACTGGAGGCAGGATAGAGAAAAATGGGGGTGGGGGAGAAACATGGATCAGCTGCTACCTGCATGGTCTCTACCCGGGTATGCACCCTGACCGGGAATGCAATGAGCAATCTTTCAGTGGATGGGCAACCAACTGAGCCGCATGCGCCAGGGCGCCTCTTTATCTTCGATGTTCTAACATTTCACTTCGGTGTCTAGAAGGATTGTTTTGTTTTACAATCTTGTCCAATACCACGGTGTGCTTTCTTCCTTCAGTTCTGAAGTACTCTCAGCCATGCTCTCTTCGGACAGTTCTCCACTGGCTTCCCTATTCTTCTCTTCGGGAATCCTTTAAGACCAATGCTGGGGCCTCTCAGTCTATTATCCATGTATCTTCTTTTTCATATACTTTATCACCATATCTGTACTGTGCTCTTGGAGCTAGCTGCCATCAGGGCCTCCCTCTGCTCCCCTGGACTGCAAGTCCCCCCTGAGCAGGACCCACGAGAGGAAGCTTGCCCCTGCCCAGCACTGGCTGGGACTGGGTGGGTAATTCTGGAGTTTAGTCAGAAGATTCACTTCATCTTCATGCTACCCTGCGTGCTCCCTCTTGGCTTTTACCAGTAACAAAGGAGCTATTTTGACTTCCAGCTGCCTTACTGTTAATTTTTTTGTTTATTTCTGAATGTGTTCATCGCCTGGGCAAGGAAAGATGCCCTTCACGGGAACCTCGGGGCCCTCGGCCCACGTGATGGTGAAGAGAGCAGTCCACCCAGAAGAGCGAACAGTCCTGAGCATGTGAAACATGATCTTGAATTTAAAAAGCCCCAAACTGTTAGGAATATAAGAAGTAGACAAATCCTAGGTTATAATGGGAGATTTCAGTAACAGTCCATACACCAATGGACAAGCAGGCAAAAGATTGTGAGGCTATAGGAGATTTGAACAATACAATGAACAAATTTGATCTCGTAACATACTTTCCTGAACTCAACAAAAGAAAAAAAGTACATTCTTTTCATACCCATATAGAACATGAAAAAAAGTCCACGAATTAAGCCAATACATTTCAAATAATATCATGCCGATGATGTTCCATGGATATAAAAAAATTTAGAAATCAACAATTAAAATACTGAAGAAAAAACAGACATTTGGAGAGTTAAGGAAAAATTCTTTTATATTACTCATGGGCTAAAGGGAAAAATCACAAAAGAACTGACAAAATATTTAGACCTAAATGACAATGAAAATACTACTTATCAATGTATGAGATGCAAAAAAAAAAAAAAAAAAAATGGTAGAGGAAGATGTATAGTTTTAAATGCATTCATGAAAACGAAGGAAGATTAAATGTGTAAGTGTGTGTGTCAAGAAGTTAGGAAGAGCCAAAACCGGTTTGGCTCAGTGGATAAAGCATCGGCCTGCAGATTGAAGGGTCCCAGGTTCGATTCCAGTCAGGGCATGTACCTTGGTTGCAGGCACATCCCCAGTGGGGGGTGTGCAGGAGGTGGCTAACAGATGTTTCTCTCTCATTGATGTTTCTAACTCTATCTCTCTCCCTTCCTCTCTGTAAAATATCAATAATATATATTTAAGAAAAAAAGAAGTTAGGAAAAGAATAGGAAAAAAAACCACACAACACCACCAAAAAAAAACAGAAGGAAGGAAATAAAGAAAAGAACAAGCTAGCAAAGTAGAAAGCAAAAATAACAAAGAAATTGAGACAATCAACAAAACTGAAAGCTGAAACCTGAAAAGATGAGGAAGGGACCCACCTGCAAATAGAGATGAAGGGCAAAGAGAACCCCAAGCAACTTGTTATCGATGCACTTGACAATAATTTTATAGAAAAATATATATTACCAAAATTGATCCAATAAGGAATAAGAAACCTAAATATTCACCATACTACAATGGAATTGGTAGCCCAGGGATCCTTCCACAAAAAGTGGCCCAGAGATTTCACAGACAATTTCTAGCAAACCTTTAAGCATCAGAAGGTGTGGTATACAAACTCTTTCACTCGATGAGACGCTCTCCAGCAATTTTATGAGGCTGGAATAACCCCCCGATATCAAAACCTGACAAGGGAAGCACAAGAAAAAAAAAAATAGGCCAGTGTTGTTATTGAACATAGATGTTTCCCTAAATAAAATATTAGCAAATTCAATTTAGCATGACGTGAAAAAATAATACACATGCAAGTGGAATCTTTACCCCTGGAATGAAAAAATGGCTCAAGAGAAATGTAATCCACTAGTTTTTACAGATTAAGAACCCTATAATTATTTCAGCAGATGCAGAGACGCATTCAGTAAAATTCAGCACACTCACCATGTGCTAGATGAATTGGGAACGGGATAAATTTAGAGCCTTATGGTAAATCCCTTTCTAAAGCAACTTTCATCCCATTTATATTTTGAGTAAATCCAGATTTTTCAAATATTAGTTTCTTTTTATAAAGGTTTAGTTGCATGTGGGAACCTAAATATATCCAGAAGCTGTACCCAGTGCTTTGGGAGAACACAAAACCCCCCACAAAGAAACCAAAAATAATGGTGACCTTGAAGGTGACTATTTGGCTTTTCCCATATTTTGATGTTGGACAGCTTTACCAAAATATGGTTTTGGACAGTAGGCCCTTTAAGTGTCCACTCCTCCCCTCCCCCCATGAGGTACCTACGTAGCATTTCATTTTCCCATCACTTGAGTGTGGTGCCCACTGCGTGGGTTGGGTGCAGTGAGGCAGATCTGACCCCGGGAGACGTGAAACAAGTGTCCCTGCCTTGAGGTCGGACACGATCTCAGCCCCCATCCTCACTGACCCCGCTGCTTGTGGACACGCCTCCTCCTGCAGGTCCAAAGTGAAGACGGTGCATGAACGGATCCCCTTGGCTGGCCTGAGCAAGCTGCCCAGCATCCCGCAGATTGCCAAGGTAAATGCCAAGCCCCGAGAGAGAGTGGCTACCTCCTTCAGCCCAGGGCTGGCCTCTGGGCTGGTGAGGCTTGTCCTGGGTGGGTTTGCCCTTGGGGAGGGGAAGGCCGCTGCACTCTTTGGCCCTTGGCTGCATGGATGAGGTTGGGGGGTGGGGGTGGCGGGGTGTTGGCAGATGCCTCTGTCTTCCTGACACCCTCCCTTGTCTCATCCTCAGAATGATCCAGGGTCTTAGCCCCCAAGTTTACAGCTAGTTCAGGAGACAGGAGACGTGGAAAGAGAGGGCTGGGTGTGGAGAGCGGGACTACAGAGGAGGAAGAGGAGGGGGTGCCAGGGAGTCTCCACAGCTGAGAGTTGGGGTTAGGAATGGCCAGGCTGTTGATTCAAATGGAGGAGCCCTCAGGCAGGAGCCACCAGCTGGCGGGTGGGGGTGGGGGGGAAGTGAGGGTGGGGTGGGAGGAAGGGGGAGAGAGGGGGAGGGGGAGGGGGGCTGGGGGTTGTATCTGCTCTGGGATCCCGGGAACTGGGGAGCTGAATCAGTCAGTGGAACTAGAAGGATGGCCAGCTGAATTGGGCTGGATCCGCACTCAGGGAGTGGGAATGCCGGGCAGAATCGAGCCCAGTGCCTTCCGGTGCCTCCCTTCAACAGGAACCCAGGGAGTTAGCTCACTTCCCTGGCCACTGGACCGTGAGCAGCAGAGCCCGGAGCCAAGGCCAGGCCTCCCGACACCCGCCGCAGGCCTTGGCCTCCCCTGCTTTCTCCCCAGGGGGCCGGGGAGCCCAGATGCTCTCCAGATGCGGTCCCTGAACTGTGTGTTCTCTCTCTCCGCTCAGGCGTTCTGTGATGACGCAGTGGGACTGAAATTCAGCCCTGTCCTGTACCCCAAGGTGAGATTCGTCCCTCCCCTTCCCCAGGGCTCTGCAGCCTAGCAGGGATTTGTGGGAATCCTCTGCATCTTGGTGGGGGGTTGTGGGGTCTCTGTGAGAAACCTCCCTGTCTCCCCTCCCCCCTGCTCATCCTTCACAAACTGGCTTGAGATGCCCCCAGCTGTGTGCAGGTGGCAGAGTGGCAGCTTCCCCACCTCTCACCGCCCTGCTCCTGCAGCCCTGAGTAGGCACTGGGGGGCGTTGCACCTCAATCTGGGGGTGGAGGCTGGTGCAGACCTGGCCAGCCATCCAACGGGGGGTTGGGGGGGTGGCAGAAGGCAGAACCCAAAGACTGCAGCTCCTCATTGCCAACGTGACCGCAGCTCTGAGGCCTTCCGAGCCCCTGCTCAGCCCTCCATCATAACCCGGCTGGTTCTAGTTATTAGTTTCCTTAGGACTGTTCAAACCTTCACCCCGGTTCTGATGTGGGCATGAGCAATAATAACACAACAAACCTCCAACCCACGGAAGAACCATTATGGAGGGACAGGACTTAAATCACCCACAGACAGTGAATTGCGTTAGACTGGCTGCAGGAAGAGACCCCGTGCACCCACTCACTGCTGCTTCCTGAGCCGGCGGGGTCTGGAGAGAGGCTGGTGCAGGGCTGAGCTGAGCCTGCACTGCTGTCAGTGCTGTGACCTTGGGCTTGCTGGGGCTGGATCGGTCCATGCCCGAGTCCCAGTTCTGACAGCCAGGAAGCACGAACCGAAATGTTTGGCGGGGAAGAGAGGCGCTCTCCTGGCTGGACATCCAGAACCCTCTGGAACAGACACCTTAAATGTCCACGATTGGGTAGGTCCCTCTGCTCATCCCTGTGCAGCTGGCTGAGCTGAGGATGGGCCCTCTCTGCACAGAGAAGGCACCTCTGTCTAGTGCTCTGAGCATCCATAGGCACTTACCAGCCACTGAGCACTTTCTGTCACTCCAAATGCCCTTCTTTTTATAATTAAAGCTGAATTAGTGAGGTTTAACCAAAGACGAAAATCCCACCATAAAGGCCCAACTTAACTACAGGCTGGGCAGTGTTTGTTGTCAGATCCAGTCCACGGAGAGAGCCTATTGGCGCCCGTTTGCATGGCTCTCTCTGTCCCTTGGAAAGCCTCCTGCTGTGGTAGCAATTAGGAGCAGCTGGGTTTCCATGTTTTCTGTAACTGAAGGACGGCTTAGTCCGGCTGGGATGTTACTCCGGCTGGTGCGTGTGTGTGTGTGTGTGTGTGTGTGTTTAGAATTCACAGGGTTTAGAATGTTCCTTGGAAGGTCTCCATGGCCGGGTGCCTCTGCTCTGCTCCTCTGAGTCATCCCAGCGGCGAGTGGGCGGCTCCCGGCGGGTCGGCCAGAGATGCCCCGAGTGTCCGTTTCCCAGGCAGCTGCGGGCCTCCCCGAGACATGTCATGTGCGGCAACCTATCCCCGGCCTCCTATTGCGGCCAGACACGTCGGGCTGGTTTGTTTCTCCCGCAGCATGACATGAGGTTGGATCCCTCCTTTTTATTGCAAAGGGTATCCCAGTAGCATCCACATCTTCCCTCCCCCACTGGGCTGGGTCCACTCTAAGCTTTCTGGGGAGTTACATTGAGGAGGATGAGGAGGAGGAGGAGGATGATGATGACAGGTGCTCTGTGCACTGAAACTCATTGAACCTTCACAACCACACATCTCCGTTTCATGGATGAGGAAACGGAGGCCCAGAGAAGCTAAGTGGCTCACTCGCTGTTATGTGTTTGTGAACATTACGTAACGGCAGATTCTCAATGGGAGTTTGGCGTTTCGGACCTTGGACGCGCAGTGGACAGTCAGACGGAATCAGTGGTCAGGCTTCTTTGCCCTTTGCAGATTGTATTAGGGTGTGCCACTCCTACCAGGGGGCTCCGTGCAGACCCCGCACTTACAGATAAAGGGAATTACAGTCCGGCCGGAGCAGTGCCTTGTCCAAATCACGTGCTGATTACAGGGGGGGAGGCAAGCTGGGGTCACCCTCGCTTACCGGTTGTGGGGGCCTGGCTTCGCAGTTCACATCACAGGCTACAGTCAGTTCCCTGAGTCCTGCTGGGCCCCCTGTGAGCTCAGGCCGTGGCTGGCACATCTGGATGGGGATGGAATCAGTGGTCCAGAGGTTTGGCCCCAGCTGGGGAACGCTCAGGTGTTGAGACGCAGCTAAGAGCTTTGGAGTTGCATCCTGACCGCCTGCTTCTGACTTCATCCTCTCTCCCTCTCTCCCCTTCTACGTGTGGGTGTCAGGGGGCACGCTCTCCACTGGAATGGGTGCTTCCCGCTTCATTTCCCTCCAAATTAATAAACAATCTGGTTTTTCTCCCCACGTTTTCCAGGCCTCCCACATGATTGTGTCCTATGATGAGCATGATGTCAAGAACACATTCAAATTTGGGGTCATTTATCAAAAAGCCAAGCAGGTAAGCACCACGTGTCCATATTGGTCATTATATCCTGTGGGTTCTCACTGGGGATTCTTTATTTCTTCCCCCAAGGACCCGTATCATGTTCTTAAATGTGTTGAAAACCACGATTTTAAGTACGATTTAGACTGGAGGTGGCTGAATTGCCATGGTAAACTACCCCTCACACAGAGGCCTGCAAAGCCGTTAAGTGGCATTGTAGTTTTCCAGGCAGTAAATTCTAAATCTTCCCGGCTGCCTTAGCTTATCTGTTGGTCACAAGAAAAATCAGACTGGGTAGAGGGAATGGTCGGCAAACTCATTAGTCAACAGAGCCAAATATCAACAGAACAACAATTGAAATTTATTTTGAGAGCCAAATTTTTTTTTAACTAACTTCTTCTAATGCCACTTCTTCAAAATAGACTCGCCCAGGCCGTGGTATTTTGTGAAAGAGCCACACTCAAGGGGCCAAAAAGCCGCCTGTGGCTCTAGAGCCGCAGTTTGCCGACCATGGGATTAGCCCAAGCTGCTCTCTTTGCTCGCCGTCCTCCCAGCTGAGAATGGCTTTCTCTCCCCAGACTTCAGTAGTGCGGGAGCCATTGTGGGCATTCGTTCCCATATCCGTGTTCAGGGACGTCCTGTTTGTAGCTGGAATTCAGCTCTGGTGGAAGTATTTGCACCACGGTAATTGGCAAACACCAGGGCTTCTGTTCCCCAGTTTGGAGAACTGGTTGTTAAAATTTTTACCTGTAACACCCACTGCTCCCCCTCCACTGTCTCTTTTAGCTTTGTAGTTGGTTACCAGGAGTGTTTTTCAAAACGTGGTCCATGAGACAGTCTGGTGAAGTGCTCTGTGAACAAATGACACAGAGGGGGCTTGGTTGTATAGAAACATTTTAAAGGCTCTCGGAACCCCCATGTTAAAGAACTCCTTATAACTTTGCCGAATCCTTATTAACATCTTGAGAAGTAGCCTGCTGAACAGGCTAATGATTCCTCACCTAGGTTTGTTTTAAAAAATATATATATTTTATTGATTTTTTACAGAGAGGAAGGGAGAGAGATAGAGAGTTAGAAACATCAATGAGAGAGAAACATCCATCAGCTGCCTCCTGCACACTCCTTACTGGGGATGTGCCCTCAACCAAGGTACATGTCCTTGATCGGAATCAGACCCGGGACCCTTGAGTCTGCAGGCTGATGATCTGTCCTCTGAGCCAGAAACGGTTAGGGCCTCTCCTAGGTTTTATGAAAGAAGGTTCCACACTCATTTTATCTTTGTATCATCCAGGATCCTTGCATGGGACTTTGTATAATTACACTCGTCATGTTTTGTGATGTGAATTAATGAACGCATAAAAGCTTTTGGCTCTGCTAATAGTAGCTCAACAATATCTTTCACTATTATCCGTGGAGGTTTTTTTTCCATGTGTGTCTGGCTACATAATAACTGACTTCCTTGTCTGAAGATATTAGACCACAAGAGACATGTGTTCTCTTAAAAACACCCTAATTAAGTGAAGAGTTTAGGAGCTGCAAAACCAACAGCGATAAATCATGTAATTGCAGGGAGATTATGCAGGTAGCTGGTCTGATTGTTTTCACATATTGCGTTTTTTATTTTTGTACAGCTCTGCTCATGTAACCCACCTAATTAAAGCTCTTAGCTTGTGAAATCTACCAAAGCTGATCTCATAAAGTGATTACCATCCAATGTTCCAGCGAAGTTATAATTGCTGAACATGAACCATCCACCTCCGAGCAGGAGTCTGTCTGTTGTTTATGTACCTGATGCTGTGGGGGCAAGGTGGGGGCGCAGGGAGATTTTTTTTTTTTTTTAACTTGGCAGATTGTTATTCTGCAAACCTACAGCCTGGGGACATTGAATGGGAACATTTGCTGCATGAAAGCCCTATGCTGGTCTTAGGGTATAAACAAGCCCCATCTAACTCTTCCGTTTGTCAGGCACTGTGCTAAGCATTGTGGGGGATACAAGTGATGACTAAGACCCCCTTCCTGAGTGCATGGTCAGGTTCAAGGCCAGTACAAAACAAAGATCATGCTAATGCCAGGCTGGGTGTAAATCTGCAGAGAGGTCTAGCTGGACAGTTTTCCCCGAAGGAGATGCTGTTGCCTGGAGCTAGTTGTTCTCCCACACTCGGCCTCAGGACCTGGGGCCAATGGGATGCTGGGCCAGACTTGGGATGCTTTCCTGGCATGCTGTGAACGCTTCCTGTGCAGGGGTAGGTGGTAAATATTTTAGACTTCCTGGGCTATGCTGTCTCTGTTGTGGCCACTCAATCCTGCCTCTATAGTGCAAAGGCAGCCAAAGGCAATATGTAAGTGAGTTGGTCTGATTGTGTTCCAATAAAATTTTATTTATAAAAACAGGCAGCAGGCCAGACATGGCCCACAGGGCATAGCTTGCAGGCTTCTGCTAGAGAGTGGTGTGTCCCAAACTTCAGACATTCACAAACCATACTCGGTATCATTTGTGCTACTATTACAGTTTTTTTTTTTTATCACACCTCTACTATCAATTGCTTACTATTTTCTTTAATTTTTTTAAAAACTGAAATGCATTTATTATTATTATTATTAAATATGTTTTTATTGGTCTCAGAGAGGAAGGGAGAGGGAGAGAGAGATAGAAACATCAATAATGAGAGAGAATCGTTGATTGACTGCCTCCTGTATGCTCCCTTCTGGGGACTGAACCCACAATCCTGGTATATGCCCTGCCCAGGGATTGAACTGTGACCTCCTGGTTCATAGGTTGACACTCTACCACTGAGCTATGCCGGCCGGGCTGAAATGCATTTATTTTTAAAGGAAATTTTTATATTGATACTCTAATTGGAACATCAGTATTGTTTACATGAAATGAAGGTGATTCTAAACAGAAATACTGTGAACATTAAAAGTTAGTGAAATCTAGCCAGATTCTGTTACCTGTTGAAGGCTTGGAACCTGGGGTCGGCTCCTTTTTGTGTAATGTTCGCGCGAAGGAGGGTTAAAGAACACCTGTTGGAGGCTTCCTCCTTCCGGAGGTTGTGCAGCCTGGAGTGTCTGCGTCATCTGAGGCTGCTCATGGCCAACTGTGGATGCTTGTGGAGCCCTCAGCTGTTTGCAGATCCGCCACTGTGGGAGCCTGTGGACCGGTGGGCCACACAGTGTTTTTTTAAAAAATATATTTTTATTGATTTCAGAGAGGAAGGAGAGGGATAGAGAGATAGAAACATCAATGATGGGAGAGAATAATTGATTGGCTGCCTCTTGCACAACCCCTACTGGGGATCGAGCCCACAACCCAGGCACGTGCCCTTGGCCAGAATTGAACCTGGGGACCCTACAGTCTGCAGGCTGACGCTCTATCCACTGAACCAAACTGGCTAGGGTGCCACTCAGTGTTTTAAGCTTGTCACAATTGAGGAGCCTACTACTGTTTTTAGCTTTGCCTTCTATTTAAAAACTTTATTAAATTTCTAGTTTTTAGATATTTGTAGATTTACATGTAGTTATAAGAAATTACATAGAAAGATCTGTGTACTCTTTACCCAGTTTCCCCCACCAGTAATCCTATATAGTAAAGAGCTAATGTGCTAATTAGACCGGAGGGCTGAACAACCTTCCTGACTGACCTTCCAGATGGCCTTCCGGAATGAACAGTGGGTAGGGCTGCAAGGGCCTATTCTTGCATGATTTTTGTGCATTGGGCCTCTAGTGTCTTATAAAACTAACTAGAGGCCCAGTGCACGAAATTTGTGCATGATGTGTGTGTGTGTGTGTGTGTGTCCCTCAGCTCAGCCTGCATCCTCTCCAACCTGGGATCCCTCTCAAAATCCAGGAGTGCTGGCTTGCCTGCCTGCCTGCCTGATTGTCCCTAACCACTTCTGCCTGCCAGCCTGATTACCTCTTAACCACTCCCTTGCCAGCCCGATTGCCCCAAATGCCCTCCCCTGCCAGCCCAGTCACCCCTAAATGCCCTCTCCTGCTGGCCATCTTATGTCCACATGGGGGCAGCCATCTTTGACTACATGGGGACGGCCATCTTATGTGTTGGGAGTGATGGTAAATTTGCATATTACCTCTTTATTATATAGGCTAGAGGCCTGGTGCACAGGTTCGTGCACTGGTGGGGTCCTTGGCCTGGCCTGTGGGGATTGGCTGAAACCGGCTCTCTGACATCCCCCAAGGGGTCCCGGATTGCGAGAGGGTGCAGGCCACGCTGAGGGATCCCACTGGTGCACTGGGCCTTTAGTATGCATATAAGATCTTTGGTTAATCTCTTCTCCCCCTCCCCCTTCCCCCTTTCCCTCTGAGATTCATCAGTCTGTTCCTTATTTCCATGCCTGTGGTTTCTGCTCCTGTCTTGAGTACCTGTCCCCTGGTGGTCAGTGCAAGTCATAGCTACCAGCTGGCCAGCTGGTTGCTTAGGCTTTTATATATAGAGAGAGATAGTGCAATATCACAGCCATGCAATCCATGGGTCTTATTCTGACTTCACCAATTTTAGTGTGTGTGTGTGTGTGTGTGTGTGTGTGTGTGTGTTTGTGTGTATTTCATTCTATATAATTTTATCACATGTTTAGATTACACAGTCAAGATACAGAATTCCATTGCCCTATTTGTTTTTAGGACATCTTGTGTTTTCTTTTTGGAACCACACCAATCTCCCTCCTGCCTCTTATGTTCCCTTCCTCCTCCAGTCTCTAACTCTTGGAAACTACTAATTTGTTCTCTAATTTCCAAAACTGTCATTTCAAAATTGTTTTCTGAATTGCATCATTCAGTATATAAAGTTTTGGGATTGGCTTTTTTCCACCTGGTGAAATTTATCCAAGTGTTGCAACATGTCAAGAGTTGATTCTTTTCTTATGGCTGAGTAGTATTCCATGGTGTGGGTGTACCACAGTCTGTTTAACCATTTACTCAGTGACCAAAAGCTGGGTTGTTTCCAGGTTTTGGCTATTCTGAATAAAGCTGCTTTGAACATTTGTAGACAGGTTTTTTTGAGCATAAGTTTTTACTTTTGTGAGATAAATACCCAGGGGTACAATTGCTGGGTTATATGGTACCTATACACTTAGTTCTGTAAGAAACTGCCAAACTGTTTTTGAGAGCAGTTGTTCCATTTTGCATTCCTGCCAGCAATATTTGATTGGTCTGTGATTTCCACATCCTTGGCAGCATTGGGTGTTGTTAGTATTTTTTTTTTTTTTGGCTGTTCTGATAGATGTGCAGTGATACCTCATTATATTTATACCTTATTATTATTTTAATTTGCATTTCTCTAATGGTTGGTAATGTTGAACATCTTTTCATGTGCTTATTTGCCATCTGTATATTCTCTCGGATGAAATAATTATCGTGTCTTTTGACTATTTTCTTTTTTTTTTATTAGCATAGTAATAGAAGCTTCAAAAGGAAAGTTAATCACAGTAGATCCTAATCCTTAAAATAGAAAGCAGAAGCAAGAAGAGGATGCTATTTATAGCCACAATCTTCTGTATCTCTGAACAGTACAGAAAGATTCCCAGAGAAAGATTAAGATGACTGACTGTTGATTATATTCTAATTGGGTTATTTTTTACTGCTGAGTTAAAATTAAGAAAAAATTTTTAAACCTTTATTGAAGTATAACTCAGATACCATATAGTTCACAATGGCATGTGGATTATATCTAAATACTGAGTACAGTTCAGTTGAATATTCACAGAATTATGCAACCATCACCACTCTAACTCCAGAGCTTTTCCATCAACCCCAAAGAAAGTCTACATTCATTAGCAGTCACTCTCCATCACCACTCTCTCTACCTCCTGTTAATCACAAACTGGCTTTCTGTCTCTATGGGTTTCCTGGTCTGGACATCTATCTATCTATCTATCTATCTATCTATCTATCTAAGCCTAAGCAAGCAACTGTTATGATCAGTCAACCGGATGACCGATTGACCGATGGCTATGACAGACATTGACCACCAGGGGCAGATGCTCAGCACAGGAGTTGTACCCTGGTGGTCAGTGAGCTCCCGCAGCCAACTTCTTGCAGTCCCTTCCCTAGTTGACTGGCTCTGATCGGTCTCAATTGCCCACCAGGCCTAGGGATCCCACATGTTCACAAATTCATGTACCGGGCCTCTAGTTTCATATAAATGGAATCATAACATGTGGCCTTTTGTGTCTGGCGTCTGTCACTAGCATAATGTTTTCAAGATTCATCCATGTGGTAGCATGAATCAGCGCTTTACGCCGTTCTGTGGTTGAAGGATATTCCATTGTATGGACATACCACACGTTGTTTATTCATTTGTCATCGGGTGGACATTTCAGTTGTTTCCATTTTGGGGCTCCTATGAAGCATGCTGCTATTAACATCCCAGTGCAAGTTTTGGTATGGACTTACGTTTTTATGTTTCTTGGATATACTCTTAGGAGTGGAATTGTGGGTCTTATGGTAACTCTACGTTTAGCCTTTTGAGGAACTGCCAGACTTTCCAAAGTGAGAGCACCATTTATATTCCCCCCAGCGGCATCTGCGGATCCCGATCCTTCTTTATCCTCACCAACACTTGCCTTTCCTTTTGATTCTAGCCATCAGTGCGTGTAAAGTGGTATCTCCTTGTGGTTTTGATTGCTATTGGGTCTTAAGAGTTCTTTATGTATTCTGGGTAGGCGTCCTTGGTCAGAAGTCCAGCTATCAGTTTTTCACTTACGGACAGGTTTTTGGCACCCTGTCCGAGAGCTCTTTGCTTCAGCTTTGTTTTTTGGTGTGTGTGTGGGGGAGAGGATGCTCTATTAACTGAGCCACACCAGCCAGGGCTTTGTAGCTTTGCTCTTTGTACTGACCAGCAGCTTGTGCTTGAGGAGAAAGTCCTCCTTAACCAGCACCCCCAAATCCAGGTCTGTGAGTGAGCCCCCGTCCTTCCTCCAGGCGAGGACAGAGCCACTGGACGGCGCTTGTGGTGGGGGACGGGGAGGAAGAGAGAAAGGGACCAGTCACTGGACAACCACGTTCCTTCCTTTGGCACCAAGAAGGCTGTTCCTGACCCCCGCCCCCCGCCTGTTTGTCTTGCAGACGCTGGAGGAGGAGCTGTTTGGGAACAACGAGGAGAGCCCCGCTTTCAGGGAGTTCTTGGACCTGCTGGGGGACACCATCACCCTGCAGGACTTCAAAGGGTAGGTGTCAGCCACGTGATGGCGGCAGCTCCACGGACGAGGACTTGGAGGAAGGGCCAGGGGCGACAGCTGAGGTTCAGGGAGGGCATGTGAGAGTGAAAAACATACACAAGAGCCCAGCCAGTGTGGCTCAGTGATTGAGCATCGACCTGTGGACCAGGAGGTCACAGTTCCATTCCCCATCAGGGCACATGCCCGGGTTGCAAGCTTGATCCCCAGGGCAGGCCATGCAGGAGGCAGCTGATCGGCGATTCTCTTTCATTATTGATGTTTCTCTCTCTCCCTCTCTCTTCCTCTCTGAAATCAATAAGAAATATATTAACGTCTCCTCCCTGCCCCCCACAACACACACCGGAAACGTGGGGTCCTTTTTCAGCAAACGATCACCACCCCGTTCTAAGGGAACAGAAGTCCAGGGGATAACGGAGGACGGCAGGCTATCGGAAAGGCGCTGACATCGGCCTCGGATGATGAAACGGCTCCACCTCACATGCGCCTCTTCCTAATTCCATTTGGCTCAGCCCGAGAGCTTAATGAATCCACCTTCCCCATCACTCACCTGCCCGCACTCAGGGGAGAGGCCCTGTGCCTCTTCGGGGGAAAGGATCCATTTTAGATAATACACAGAAAGAACGGATAACTGAGAATTGGTAGAAATACAGTAGCTCACACGCCTAGCCCCCTCCCCCTGGCAGGAATCTATGCAACAGTCTGTGGTTCTCCAAGTGGACAGAGAGAATATGGGAGCGATTGCTTGGAAAACTCTGGCCTTGGGTTCTCCTTGGCTATGGCCACCTTTGGGAGGGACCTTCAGGCCTGGCCGGGCTGTGCTGTGTGTCATGGTGGCGCGTGGCTTCCCTCCGAATCCCCCACTCCAGCAGCCACGTTAACGGGGTCTCCCTCCGTGTGTGATAACCCCCAGGCCTGTCAGTACTAGGTGTTGTGTGACCCCTTTCTTCCTCTGCTTCCTTCTCTCCTCTTCCTTCTCTCCTCTTCCTTCCCCCCCTCACCCCCTTCTCCACCCTCTTTTCCTTCAAGGTCGCCACTGTCCGGAGTCAGTCCCACCTGGGTTACAGTTCCGCCTCCATTACTTGGTAGCTCTATGACTTTGGACACGTGACTTAACCTCTGCAAGCCTCCGTTTCCTCACCTGTAACAGGGAGATAAAGGCAGTGCTGACCCCACAGGTTGCTGGGGGTTGAGGTAGATACGCCCGAGAGGCACATAAGCTGGTGCTGAGCACAGAGGACCCACCCGCGGTCATTGTCACCGTGGCCCTGCCACCTCCGTGGACCCTGAGGTGCATCCAGAGTTCACAGATCGTAACATGTGAAAAGATGTGTCTTAGAATAGATGCAACAAAGTCTACTAAAACCAGGAAGGACCCCAGAGGTCATGTTGTCCTAGCCCTTTATTTTTTTATAATTTACTTATTTGTTTATTTTTGTTAATCCTCACCTGAGGATAGTTTTCCACTGACTTTTAGAGAGAGTGGAAGGGGAGGGAGACACACACACACACACACAGAGAGAGAGAGAGAGAGAGAGAGAGAGAGAGAGAGAGAGAGAGAGGGAGGGAGTTGTGAGAGGGACACATCGATTGTCCCCGATGAAACTAGGAATCAAACCAGCAACACAGGTACATACCCTTGGCCGGGAAATGAACCTGAGGCCTTCCGGTGCACAGGCCAGTGTTCTCACCACCAAGCCATGCTGGCCAAGGCCTACCCCTTTATTTTATGGAGAAAGGAAATGGGCCCGGAGAGACGAAGTGAGATGCCAGGGCCCCGTGCTGACTTAGGGGCAGAAGCAGGTCTAGAACCTGGAGAGCCTGACCCCGGCCCAGCGTGCTTCCTGCCATGCCGCTGAGCACATTGCCTGGACGGTATTGCAAGCCTGGGGGGACTGATGTCCAGGGTCTGTTTGATTTTATCTTCTTAAAGGAACCAGCATCCTCCTTTTCCTGCTAAGAATGTGATCCATGGCCAGCAGCCCGTTTCCATAAGGAAGAGGGGGCAGCTGCCAGAAGCCTCCCAGTTCCTTAGCTCCTCAGGGAGAGAAAGCAGGAGAGGGACCTCCCTGGGTACCCCCAGGCTGGGGGCTGCTGTATGGGGTCCAGTCCCCACATGGGACACTGGCTGGGCAGAAGTCAGGCATCCGTCACCTCTTCAGGCTGCCTCCGGAGGCTCCGATGGGGCTCACCACCACCCAGCAGGATGGCCAGTTTCCTGGGCTTTGGGCCGAGGAGTTAGACATGGCCTTGCAGAGAGCTACTGGCACCCAGGACAGCATCTGTCTGGGATTTGTGGGTGGACAGCCTTCCTTCCCACATGACCTACGTCAGTGGTCGGCAAACTCATTCGCCAACAGAGTGGCAAACCGAGGCTTGCGAGTTGCGTATGGCTCGCTTGCGTATGCCGACCGCTGACTTACATTATGGAGGGGACGCAGCCACGGCTTGGAATTTGCCTCTGTCTTTTCAGTGTGGGTGTATGGGTGAGCCCAGGGCTCCTCTGCTCAGAAGGGCAGACCTGCCTGCTCTCCCCTCATTGCAGCCTCTCGGCCAGCTCCCCACGCCCCTCGTCCCTTCCCCCGCCCCCTGTGCTCAGGGAACGCTGCGCCCCGCTGCCCGCTAACCCCCGCTCTCTCTCCCTGTGGCACTTGCCTCGGTTTTGTGCCGACAGTTTCCGAGGAGGCCTGGACGTGACCCACGGACAGACGGGGGCGGAGTCGGTGTACACGATATTTCGGGACAGGGAGATCATGTTCCACGTCTCCACAAAGCTGCCCTTCACCGAGGGCGACGCCCAGCAGGTAACCGGGGTCGGGAGGGGGCCGGGAGCCCGGGGCGTGCGAGGTGAGAGGCTTCTTCTGGTGCCATGTACCTGAGGGACTGCACACCCCTCCTTTCATCATCGAGGCCGGTCTGTGCAGCGGTGCTCCTGCCTTCACAGCCTGTTCTGTCGCTTTATCTCACCGACACCGACGTGTGACGGGACAGCCGGGCTGTGGTTACCCCTCTGACCGGGGAGGCACTGCACCTCGGTGAGGTCAAAAGACCGTGTCCCAGCTGCCGGGGGCAGAGCTGGGAGCAGAGCCCAGGGGCCCTGGTCACGTGGGTGGTGGTGGTGAGGAATCCTGCTGGGGTCTGCAGATGGCAGCTTGACGCCAGCTCTGCACTTCGGGGCACATGATTCTGGGCAAGCGGTTGATCCCTCGGCCTCACTGTTCTCATCTGTAAAATGGGGAGAGTGCCATGTCTGCCCGAGCCTTGTGGTGGGGATCCACATGGTTCTGAATGTAGGATTCAGTGCGGCAGCCTTGCTCCCCACCAGCTGTTCGCTACCCAGCCCGCTGTGCCCGCTTCCTGCCCCAGGGACTTGAAGCTGGTTAGTGCACGAGACACCTCCCACCCCAGCTTTCCTAGGCTCTCAGCCTCCCGGCTCAGCACACCTGCCCGCGGGCAGGAATCCAGCCCCTCCTCCGCCAGAGAGCCTGGAGGAGACCTGCTCCCAGGGTTTTCCTGCTCTCCTTGCCCTCTCCGTGCGGCTCTGACGGCTGGGTGTCCCCAAGGCGGGCCTGGCTCTTTCCTTGTTGAGCCCCAAAACCAGCAGCTGCTCTCTGGCTGCCTCACCACTTCCCCATCCCGCTCGCTGCCTTTTCAGTCTCTGGGAGAATGAGCAAGGAAGGCAGGCCTTTCGCCAGAAGCCGACCCATCGTCTCTGAGCAGGGGGCAGGGCGGGAGTGCAGATGCAATACTGAAAACAGAGCTCGGCTTCTATGGAAAAAAAAAAGGGAATTGGCAAATGGGACTGTGATTTGGCTCTGACAGAACCATTGAATGTTCCAGAAACAAACGGGACAGGATTCCTTTGTATCCAAAGCAGGTTTTCACTGTGTTTCGCCTCGGTCTATGTCCCCTCCCGGCCCCGGCCCCGCCCGCCACCTAACCTGCTGCTGAGGGCCTTCTCTGCCCGCCCGCTCTCAGCCTCACCTGTGTTAATTTTGTTGAGACTGGCTGTTGGCAAGGACTGAATAAACACCACGTTTCCCTTACCAAGAAATGAGCTGGCGTGTGGAGAATAAGTGAGAGGATGTGTGTACAAGTGCCCTGCACTGGGCTCAGTATACAAAACAGGTGCTCAGTGAACAAAAAACTCCAAGTGACGTGCAGAGCCTGCATTCAGTAGGTGCTTAATAAAGGAACAAACGCTCAGGCAAGCACCTCGCCAGCACATGGTGTACAGGAGGCCCTTGTCATTGGAAATCACGCGTGTGGACAGCCCAGCATGGCTCCTGACGCACAGCAGGAGCGAGGGGATGGAGGTCACCTGTGAAAGCACCTGGCACAGTTTGTGGGACGGAGTCCGGGTTGGATTTCTCTCCCCCCGCCCCCATGACCTCCACTAAGCCATGTTGTCCCTGTTTCTCATGGCTCTGCTCCCCTCTGATGTAGAATGATCTGCGGCCTCATCCCTGCTCACCCACATTCCCATCAGTTGTCCCACCACTACCTCCTCTTCCAGGAAGCCTTCTCAGATTACCCTCAGGCCTCTAACTTTGCCCTCTTCCCTGCCCCCTGTCTCCCCTGTCCCCCCCCCCCCCCCCCCAGCAGCAGGCATTTGTGTGCAGGAGCTGACTTACCGCTCACCGACTGGTGGCCTTGTTCCTGTCCTCAGGTGGCTTCACCCGTGTTTGTGTCTCTCCTGGCTCAGTCGCAGGCTCTTTCCCAGGGCAAAACCTGAGCCTCAATGTTGAACTCTTTTCCCGAGTCCCGTGTGTGAGCTCTGCACACCCTGGAGTTCAGTGAGATGCTCCCTGGTCTCACCCTCACAACTTGGGCAACTTCCCCTTTTTCCCCTTTCTGATGGCTTCCAAAGATGACATGAAAAGCTCCCCGGAGAGCTAGGCCTCCGGCTTCCAGGGCTTATGGATAAAGATAGCAGAACGAGGCACTTCCTGTGTAGATCTCTCCTGCTTCAGGATGTTCCCGGCTGACTTGTAACACTGGGACGCTTTTTGTTTAGCTCCAGAGGAAGCGGCACATCGGGAATGACATTGTGGCCATCATCTTCCAAGAAGAAAACACACCGTTTGTCCCAGATATGATCGCCTCCAACTTCCTACACGCCTACATCGTGGTGCAGGCCGAGGGCCCGGGCACGGACACCCCAGCCTACAAGGTGAGGGGGACGTCTCCTTGGAGGGCATGGTGGCCGCGGCTGCCCAGAGGGATCCAGCGATACCAGGAACTAGCAGTCCGCGACGGTCCTCCAGCTGGACTCCGAGGTGCCACTCCTGGCTGCGGTGTGTCTGATTGCCCACAGCTCTCAGGTTTCTGAGATGTGGGGGCTAGACGCTTAGGGGAGGGCACCCGCCCTCTGAGGTCACCTCACCCATCCAGTTCTCTCCGGGCTCAACCCCATCTCACCTGAGGGCTGAGAAACTCGGATGCTCCCTTATTTGGGATCTGGTCATGCTATTGGCAGAACCAGAGGGGAGCAGGGAAACAGAGAGAGGACTGTCAGGATGGGGAAAGGAAGAGGGTGGCAACAAAGAAAAGAAAGAAAAGAGGTGTTCGTGGTGAGAAGGGCGGGGCGCAGGGGCCTGGGAGACCTGGCCCCCGGGTGGCCCCTCTGCTTTAGCTGTTCTGGAATAAATGCTCGGTCTTCATTTGGAGACTGCCAGGGGGTGGATAGTGAGTACGTGGGTCTCAGCCCTCTGATCGATAAGCAATCTTCCAGACGAGCTCAACATTCTTGTGGATGACGGGGAGCCCGCCACCTCAGCCGCCCTCACAGGGCCCTCTGGTGGCTGAATCACTGACCCTCCCCTCCGCTTCTCCGCCAGAAATAACCCAGCATGAGACCCCAGGGAGACAGGCTGAGGCAGGGTTTCTCAGTGGATGTTAGGTAGCCTGTGGACCCGCTGCAGACACGTGTGTGAGCTTCTCTGCGTGTTCTCTGTCTTTCCTAGGGGGAGGGGGTCTCAGAGGACCGCCCGCTCCCCACAATGGAGGAGCCGCTGCTGTAGGGAGAGGGAGGGGCTGATGGGACACCCTGAGGCCCGGACACGTTTCCTGTGTCATAACTTGGGCCGGCGCTGGTTCCGGGGGTTTACGATGCCCTCGCGCCTCGTGGCCGTCTGCATGAAGTACCCATTTTGCTGGAGGTTTTTGGGAAAAGAAAATGATGTTATATACTTGCTATTACCGTATAAGGTGACCAGACGTCGCGCTTTTGGCGGGACAGTCCCGATTTTTAACAATTTGTCCCGTGTCCTGCGGAGTTTTAAAAAGGTCTCGATTTAAAACGCCGCGGGACGCGGGACAAATTGTTAAAAATCGGGACGTCTGGTCACCTTATATTAGTACAAAGCCAGATGGAGTAAGTGCAGACTTCACATCAACTTTAAATGCAAGTATGTGGTTTCAAAAAGAAATCCCCAAACCAACCACCGACAAACACACAGCCAGACGAGCCCCACCCGCTCTCCTGTGGAGGAGAGCCGGTCTCTTTCATGTCCATGTCCATGTCCATGTCCATGCTCATGGCCTCTTGCCACTGAGCGGCTTTAGCCGGAAAGTGAGAGCAGCCGGGCTGTGGGCATCTCCCCGAAGGCTCACTGGCTTTGACCGAAACGGGCGCGTAGCTGGCTGGATTTGTTGGTGGAAGCAGACTTGATTCACTCCGTGCCCACTGTGTGCCAGGCGTGGGCACGTGCAAGTGATGTTCAGAGCCAGCCTTCAGGGAAGAGAGAGAAGAGCTACTGCTTGGGATCCCCAAAGAAAGGTGTGTGGTGGGCCAGAGGCGGCGGGGAGCGGTGGCTCTGAGACCCAGCCAGGCAGCAGTTCCATGCATACTCTCGGCTCGCCTGCTGGGCCTCTGCTGGCCAAATGGGCCCTCTTGTGGACGCTTTGCATGTTTAAAGTTTCCGATAGGACATGGAGTTCAGCTAACTGGCTTCTCCACTTTCCCAAGAGCGTAGCAGCGAGAAAAATCACAGGCCCCCAAATGGGCACCCCACCTCCAGCTGTGATGCTAGAAGTCTTTACCAAGTCTTCCCGGCCACCGAGGGTGGTCCGAGTGGGAGCGCCTTCCTGAGAGCGGTGGTGAGAAGCAGGGAAGTAGGACCCACAGGAGGAGCCGGGCTGGCCAGGGATGTGGGGCCTTGCGCCCCACCTGTCAGGAGAGCATGGAGGTTGGAAGGCAAGATCTGCGAATGGGGCCAGAGAGGCAGGGGGCCAGGGAGGGAGGCCAGCCTTCCAAGGTGCTCCCCAAACCTCTGTGAACCCCAGGTGAGGAGCAGACTGAGGAGGAGCTGGTCATGTCCCTCGGGGGGTGCTTGCAGGCATAGGGGCGATGGGAAAGCAGGGTAAGTGAGGTTTCCCTGGGGCTCAGCAGTGCCTGGGGAGGCCCCCACGGGGAGGACAAACAATAGGAAAGGAGGCGAGGGTGGGGTGGGAACGTGCAGGAAAGGGCCCAGGCCTGGAGTCTCGGAGCCTGGGGTTCTGGTCCTGTGCCTATGACCTTGGTTTGTCCCTGCTCCCTCTGGACCCCCGATTCTGTCTGTGTGAGATGAGGAAGTTGGGCTAGACAACCTGAGAGTTCCTTCCAGCCCTGATGTGGTCGGAAGGGGAAGGGGGGACGTTGAGACCAGTGTGTGTGTGAGGTGGATGAGAAGTGGTCTGGGGGGGACTCTCCAAGTGTCCTTTACTGGGTGCATTTCGTAGGGAAATGGTGGAGGCACCTTGTCCAGGTTGCCCTGTGGTTGTGGACCCTGAGCCGCCGGGAACTTGGCTCCAAAACTTGGGTGCGCGTGAAGCGTCACCTGGGATTGTCCTTCAGACACCAGTTTGGTCCCCTTCCTGCCAGGCTGGAGTGGAATCCCAGCCGAGCCGTCATCAGGACTCCCTCCCTCCTCTTCCCACCTGAGACAACCTGGGCCTGGCCCCCAAAGTCCTGCACAGGCCTCAGGAGCCTTCCATGACGCCGATCCTTGGAGGGGGGCCTGGGTGGGCCCCTTCCCCTCTCTCTCCTCCCTCCCCTCCCTGTCGTCCATCGCTCCAGCGACCTGGGCGGTTCTCTGAGGTTTCCGGGGCCCACGTGGGCGCGAGTCCACTTCCTGGCGCATCCTCGATCCTCACAGGCCCCTGGTCTTCGTCCACTTTCCAGCCTCGAGGAGTCTCTTCCTCTGAGTAACCCGCCGCCTCTGAGCCCTGCTGGGCCCCTGCACAGGACTGAGGGGCTTCTGCTTCCGGCCCAGCAACCCAACCCTAACCCTAACCCTAACCCTAACCCTAACCCTAACCCTAACCCTAACCCTAACCCACATGTGTCAAACACAAGGCCCGCGGGCCAAATCCGTCCCGCCAGGCCTTGCAAAGTGGCCCGCACCGCGCTGTCATCACTGCACTCCGCTGCGTTTCCATCACAATGACAGTTTATGACTGTTCAGTAAACCATTCGGCCCGCGATTTAGGCTGGATTTTAGATTTTGGCCCCTTCTCTGATTGAGTTCGACACCCCTACCCTAACCCTTCTGCTTTCGGCCCAGCAACCCAACTGTGCCCAAGAGCCGGGAACAACAGAGGCCTGAGCTCTGCTGGAAAGGGGTCAGGAGAGGGAGCAAGCGGGGATGGAGAGGAATGGCCGACATGGGAAGGGTCCCGTCCCCTCCTTTCTGACTGGCTGCTGCGGTGGACTTGTCTGTCTGCACACGTGGTGGATTTCAGAACACACTCGAGGCCATTTGCTGACGCTAACGCACGCCTGAGAGGGGGTGTCCAGGTGGGAAGAGGAAGGGCCAGGCCTGGCCTTGTCCCATCAGGAGCCTCCCCTCCACTCCCTCCCCAGGTTCTGGCTCTGTGGGTGGCATTCTTGACTTGGGCCATGGCGCCTGGTGGGTGGTGGTGATAGGGAACTGTGTTTGGCAGCTGGAACCAAAGCCAGCAATCACGTCAGCAACCCATACCCCGGTTCCTCACTGTGGTCGCTGCCGTGTGAGGCCCTGCAGTGGTGTGGGCCCTGCAGACAGCTTTGAACTTGGTACTGACTAGCCCTCCTCACTCCCTTCCCCTGCAGACCCTGGCCGGGCCTTTCCTTGGCCGGGCAATGAGCTGCCTGCTCCCCCCGTCTGGCCGACTCCCGGCATCTGCCCTACTTCACAGGCCAGCAGCTGGCGGCGGGCCAGGGCCGGCTCACGTCAGAGCTGCTCGCCTGGGGAGCGGAGAGGGCAGATCTCCAGAGAGGCCTGCAGCCTCGTGGGCCGAGGATGGGTGAAACCAGGGCACCTGTGTGCAGAGGGGAGATGGAAGTGTGGGGCCTGTCCCGGGCCTGGGGGACCCCACACAGAACATCTCGGGGCTCTCCCTCCATTAACTCGTGCCTCGCCAGGCTGGCCAGAGGTGCACACTCACCCAGAGCCTGGTCCCCCTCTGCAGCACCACGAGCACCCCTCGAAGCCCTCCATCCCCACTTCCCAGCCTGGGCCCCGCACTGCTGGTTCAGGCCTCACCCCAACTGCCTCACCCTGTGCGGGGCGGGTGTGTGTGTGTGTGTGTGTGTGTGTGAATTAGGGCTTCCAGATGCTCACCTGCCCACTGCCAGGGGCTCTCAGGAGCTCACAGCTGCAGATTCCCGGTTCGCCTCGGTGCTGCTGCTGCTGTGGCAGGCGTGGGATGGAGCCGTGCAATGGGTATTTCTTGGTGAAGCACTTGAAGTGTGGGGAGGTTGGGAGCCAGTGTCGTGGGGAGAACCCCAGAGCAGGGTCTGGATTCTCTGTTCACCTCGGGGGTGAGTCACCTGTGTGCCTCTGGGAGGGTCACTCGTGTCTCTGGGCATCTGTTTCCTCATCCGTAAAAGGGCTGAGAATTCTCACTGTGCCTCCCCGGGGGCTCAGCTTCCCGGTCAGTGCTGTCAGGAGGCTCAGCTTCCCGGTCAGTGCTGTCAGGAGGCTCAGCTTCCCCGTCAGTGCTGTCAGGAGGCGAGGCGTCCTGAGCGCTCACACAGCATTAGAGTTGGGGTCCCAGGCTCTGTCCCCCCACCTTGCCAGGCTCAAGCCTGGCCTCCAGCGGTGCAGACAAGCATGTGGATGGTTCCATGCCATGCAGCCCACTCCTAGGAACTCTGCCATGCTGGCCACGGCCCCCAGGGCGCCGGGAGGCGGGGTGAGGTCTGCCGTGGGAGGTGGGGCTGCCCCGGCCCCGGGCACTGCACGTGGGCCTCTCCCGCCTGGCCCACACCGAGGCTCTGTTGCAGGTCTCGGTCACCGCGCGGGAAGACGTGCCTGCCTTTGGCCCGCCTCTGCCCAGCCCCCCTGTTTTCCAGAAGGTAAGACACTCTCCTTCCTGCCCCTCTCAGATCCAGACTCCAGGTTCCCAGGCCTGGATGGCAGGGATGGCAGCGGGGCCGGACCTGGGCGGGGACCTTAGCCGGGCCTTTACTCAGCGGGTTGGGGGCTTTCCTTGGGGTCTCCCCCACCTCTGCTCCTGCTGGCAGCCTGGCCTAGCACCGGATCTCGTTCAGGGTGTTTGAATTTCGGCTGAACGAAGCGTTTTTATACCAGGAGCTGGCGGGGAGAGGGTGGGAGGTGGGAGAGGGGGAGGCTGGGATTGGGGGGCAAAGTCACCTCCAGGCACGGGAATGCCCTGTCAGTATATGGAAGGCTGATGTCCCAGGACCCGGGTAGCTGGTTCCCATGTTGGCGTTGCAGCAGCTGGGCGTGGCCTGGGCTAGATGTGAGCCAGTGTCTGAAGAGACTTTTCAGGGGTGCTCCCAGACACCCCCCACCCCGTTCTGCCTGCCTGTGGGGCGGCTGGGAGAGTCCCAGAGTGCCTTGTCTTCCAGGGCCCCGAGTTCAGGGAGTTTCTGCTCACCAAGCTCACCAACGCAGAGAACGCGTGCTGCAAGTCGGACAAGTTCGCGAAGCTGGAGGTGAGGACGAGGTTTCCGGGGTCTGCCCTCTGCCCTCCTGTTCGTTAGCCGGACTCGGCCAGGGTCTGTTCCTGGGGGCTGTTCGAGGGGGGAGAGCATGGTCTTTGCCCCTCGAAGTCGTCAGTCCTGTGCGGATACAGCAACTCTTCTTGTGGAAACGAAGTCCAAATCTCAGGTCTAGTCAGCCACTCACCAATCGTTTCTTGAGCACCTACTGTGTGCTAGGCTCTGTTCTGTTTCCTGGGTCACGGGCCTAAATGCGACTCAGTTTCTGCCCATATCGCGTTCCCAGGCTGGTGGGAGCGGCCATTATAGAGGTGTGACACAGTTTGCCAGCACTGAGCCCTGCTGGAGGCCAGCCTGGGGGCTGTGACTTAGGATAGTGACTGCCTCTGCCTGTGGGGGTCTAGGGGGTATTCAGGGAAGGCTTCCTGGAGGAGGTGGCCCTTCGGCTGCTGACTCTGGGTACCTGATGAGTCGTTTGCCAGGAGGGAAGAGTGGGGAGGGCTATTCCAGGCATGGGAACAGCATGAGCAAAAAAGCATCAGGGCAGAATCAGAGCATGACTGGGTGAGGGGGTTCCCTGAGGGGAAGGACTCATATGGGGGATGGGATGGCGGGGACTCAGCTGGAGACGTAGATTGGGTCATTTCAGGAAGGGATTTGAGCTAGAGGGGATGGGCCCTATTGAAGGAGTTCGGCGGGAGAGTGATGTTTGCTTTGCATATTAGATGGTCATTCTGACAGAGGCGGGAGGGTGGATTGAAAGGGAGGAGGGCGGGAAGGGTGGCCAATTAGAAGCTATGACAGGAGCTCAAGAGAGACAATGGCAACTTGCTTACCCAGGCAGAGGAGGGAAGGATTGGGGAAGACCCGATGGACTGCTGTATTCAGGGTGGGGAGAGGTGGATTGGTGGGGTGGCTCATAGGCCTGCAGCCTGGCTTGTTGCTGATCTGGAGGAGCCTGCACAGGCTGGGTTCCTGAAAGGGCCAGTCCCGGTCTGGTTACATGGCGCCCCCTGGAGGTTGTACGGATGGCTCTGGAGGAACATCTGGATGGAGAGGAGCAGTGGGCAGTGGCATGTGGATGTGGGATTCAGGGTAGGGATCTGGGCGGGGCCAGGAGTCAGGTAGAGCAGGGAGAGTGGGGCGGCCTAGAGAGAAGGGGCAGAGGGAACAGAGCTGGGCTGGGCATTGAGTTGTAGTGTCAGTGGCAAATTTGTGAGCGCGGAGCCCAGCCTGGCCTGGGGTCCACACCGTCACCAAGATGCGCTTGGCCGGAAGAGCAGCCCTCAGCCAGGCCTCGGGAGCCCCTCTGCTCTCAGTGCCGCTCCACAATCTCCCCTCCTCCCTCCAGGACCGGACGCGGGCCGCCCTCTTGGACAACCTTCACGACGAGCTCCACGCGCACACGCAGGCCATGCTGGGACTCGGCCCGGAAGAGGACAAGTTTGAGAACGGGGGCCACGGGGGGTTCCTGGAGTCCTTCAAGGTACGAGCGCAAGGGCGGCTGCCGATGGCCGTGGCCGGGAGGGTCGAGATAAACGAGGGAAGAGGTCCAAGAGGTCCAAGATCTACATGATCCTGACCCCAGGGCCCAGGGCCAGCCAGAGGCAGCAGGACCAGCAGGGGCCCTGCAGGGGCTGGCAGAGGACAGGGGCATCGGGAAGGGTGAGTGGTTGGAGCAGCCAACGGTGTCCTGACCTGGATCTTCTCCTCCTGGCCCGGGGTCTGACAAGTGGGGCTGGCGGAAGAGTTAGCAGGAGAGGAGCCAGTACAAACCAAGAACACACCTGCCTCTGCCTGCCTCCGTCTGTGGCCAGGCACCCAGGGCAGAATGGCGGGAGCAGGGACACAGGTCTTCGCTGTCTTCAGCAGCTGGTTGTGGGCTCCGAAAAGATTTCTCCAGCTGCCAGGGCACCCGAGGACCTGGGCAGGGCCCGCGTGATGGAGTTAGAGGCAAGTCCCTGTGGACTTTGCAAAGGGAAGAGCTTTCTAACCAGAATGAGCTGCTAAAATACGTAGTGAGCTCTCTATCCCTGGGAGTATTCAAGTGGAGCTGGGACAGCCGCTTCGCGGGCCTGGCATAAGGAAGACTCATTGTCATGGGCTTGCCAAGTGCTTGCTGGTCCGCACAGCGCTCACATCCAGCCTCTGAGCTGAGCCTGGCTGTTACCCTTTCCGGTTGGCACGGGCCTTGTTATGTCCACTCCCGCACAAGGGGACAGGATGGAGCCACAGGACTGCTGAAACCTTACCCCACTGCCCGGCCGGCGTGGCTCAGTAGCTCAGTGTTGACCCACGAGCCAGGAGGTCATGGTTCGATTCCTGGGCAGGAGGGCTCGTGCTCAGTTTTTGGGCTCAATCCCCAGTAGGGGGCGTGCAGCCTATCGATAATCCTCTCTCATAATTGATGTTTCTATCTCTCTCCCTCTCCCTTCCTCTTTGAAATCAATAAAAACATACTAACAAACCCACAAAAACACCTTACACAGCTCAGAGGTAAAGCCTTGTTCCAAACCCGGGCTTTCCGGTTCTTAGTGTTCTGCTTGGTTTCTAAAGCTGCCGTTTTGGGGACAGGGTGTGAGGGTGAGGCTGGACCTGCCTGTGTTAGAACCCCAGCTGGGTGACCCTGGCCACTGTCTTTCAAGTCTCTGAGCTGCATTAACCACACAGGGATGGCCGACAGGTCCTGCGTGTGGGCATTGCTGGGAGAACTCATGGAAATAGTCTGAAGAGGTTGCATGGCCTGGAGTACAGTCAGTGCCCGGTGAACATGTGTGCTGTCTGCATTGCCCTGTACAGCGAAAGCTTAACCCCCCCCCCCCCACTACCCCTCTGAACCCTCATGGCCATTCCCTTCGCCCTGTGCAAGGCTGGGATTGCGGGTAGAATCGCCGATACCCGATTTCGATAGTTAGGAGTGTCATTTTGCACGTGAGGAAACGGAGACCCGGAGAAACGGAATCACTTGTCCCAAGTCACCCAACAGATTCGGGAATCGAAGCGTGTCTGGCAGACGCCGGGGCGCGTGCTCCCAGTTGCCACATGACACCGCCTCTGGGTCCCAACTCAGTTAAGATTCCACCCACTAGCCTGGCCCGGGCAAGCCTGGGGTCTGCCCCCGTGCCAGGCAGCGGCACGGAGCGCAGGGCAGGGCCTGCTGGCCCCCAGGGCCAGCTGCCGAGATTCCTCACGCGGGCGCGGGCAGGAGCCGGCTGCGTGTCCCGGCTGGTGGGAGATTCCTGGGGCATCTGTCCCAGCCCTGATGGACAGTGGCGGCCAGGGCGAAACGGGAGGAATTGAGATACAGAGGAGGGCGGGGTGGTGGGAGAAGAGGAGTGGGGAGGAAAGAGGGAGCCAGGGCAGCTAGCCCGGCAGAGGGAGGGGTGGACGGGAGACCAGGTAACTAGGAACACCTCCGAGGCTCCGCCCACATCCTGGCAAGCATGTCAGATGCTCCCGGCTCCACAGCAGATGTGATTTGTACACGTCTCGAGCTGTCGCTGACTGCAGACATCTGGTGATTTGTTGCTTTCCGTTTTTGCAGCTTTCTCTCTCCTTTTGGAGTTAATAATAGTTTTTTTCAGTTTTCAAATATTTCTATAACCTGGGAACTCCTGCAGGCCGTGCCCACGGTGCCCAGCGGACAAAACAGCCTGGCAGGTTTCGGGTCTAAAGGCAGTGACCCGAGGCCATGTCCCAGGCCCCTGCCTCTTGGCCGACGCCAGTGGCTTGACTCCCGGGCTTTCCCATGGAGGGACATCTCCAGGCCCTGTCCGTTCCTTGTCTCTGGCCCAGTAATCCAGGGAAGTTTTCTCTTCAGCCCTGACTACTTCCAACCGTGGGCTGAGGACAGTCCCTTCTACCTTCGGCTTCCGCCCGTGTCCGAGGGGCCCTGTGGGGTGAGGGAGGGGCCGTCACGGCCAGTGGCGCAGAGCGAACCTTCCGAGCTCTGCCGGGGATGAGTAGCTTGGTCTCCTCCTCCCGTCGGGACATGAGCTCGTGGCCCTGTGTGTTCCATCCCGGCCTTCGGTGGGCGTCCCGGGCTGTGGTCTGCCCAGCTCAGAAAACGGACTTCAGTTTCCCCATTTCTTCCCGGGCATCTTGGACGGTGCTGTGGTGTCAGGATTATTGTCATTCCTTTGGGCGTTGTGTCTGGACCGCCACGAAGTCCTTGCGAGAGTGGTGCGTGAACTGATTCCAGGAGGAGAGGTTCCTGCTGTCTCTCTCCTTCCTGTCACAGTTCTCGTCCCACAGAAGCACAGAGACATAATCGAGAAGTCCCCAGGCTCACAGCGACCCCAGGTACCCATCCCTGCCTCTGTGGCTGTTTCCCCTCCCCTACAGCTCAAGGACCCTCTGTCCCTCTGTCCTCTGTCCCTCTGTCCCTCTGCCCAGAGCAGACCCGTCGCCGCCCCAGGCTGTGCTCCTGGCCCCTCACACCACATAGAGTAGCTCTTCTCCTCTCCATGTCCGGCTTCCGTTCACGGGCTGTCAGCTTAGTGTTTCTTTCCCGAGAAACAGAACCGTTGGTTCATGGATGCCTAGGCCTGCTTCTGAGGAGCTTGGGGATATTCTCGGGAATCCTCCCGTTCTACAAACACATACACATCTTGCATTGTTAAGTAGCGGATGATATAAAAAATGCTTTTCCAGTCGAGATTAAACTTTGGCAGCGAGACTCACCATTGAAAGACATGAGTACGTGGGCAAGGACCAATGCAGCTGGGGGTCTGTGGACAGAGTCTTGGAGTCTTGCAAGAATAGGTTTAGGTGAAAAACATGTATATTAGTTATTGCTGACAATGTTACAGATGGTCCCGCATTCCTTCCCCCATCGCCCTCCTCCACCCAGAATAGTTTTCTCTTCCGAGCAGCTGGGTATTACTCACATTTGAAAAATATTGATCTCTGAACTGTTGTTCTCAAATGCCGTGCTCAGCCCCTGCCCGCTGTTGAGGTTTCTGTTGGTCCCTGATAAAAGAGAAAGGCAAAATATGTACACAAAGCTTGTGGGAGCCACATTTTGAGAAACCCTGAGTAGCCATGATGAGTAGCCTCTGATGACTTCATGCAGAAGGAGGGCCTGAGGGCCAGAGGAGAGGGTCACCACCAGCCCCAGAACTGGGACAGCGGAGAGCAGGACTGTTGGGTGAATGTCTCCCAGCCTCTGAGGGGCTGGCAGCCGATGCTCTGGTCTGCTCTGACCCCTAGTGGCCGGAGTGCCACTCTGCAAGTAGCTCTGGCAAAGGCAGCTCATGGGATGGAGCTCTGGTTTGTCTGAAAGGAGACATGGAGGGATACTTCCTACTTCCACCAGCCTTCCTCCTTTATTTGTGCTGCTAAAGGGGCAGGAGACCCTGCTTTGGACCTCAGATTCTTCCAATTAGGGGGTCGTCATAGCCGGCAAGAAATTAGCATCTTTCTCTCCGCCGGCCCTGCCTCTGTGGCTTACTTGGTGCAGGTAAGCATGTGTTCCCCTTAGAGTTATCCTTGTGAATTGGGTCCCCCAAGTTGAATTTGTTAGGTGGAAACAATTCACAAAAGCTATTCGTAAAGAAGTGGGGTTTGGGGCAGGCCCGGAGGAGACGGGTTCCCTCTGTGACACTAGCTGGTGTGACACACGCAGACATGCGGGAGTGACTCCATCCCTCTCTTCTCACTCCCCCCACAGTGTGCCGAGGGTTGGGAAACCATGGCGACTCAGGGTGGGGGACAGAACTAGAGGTGACAGAACTCAGAGCATCTGAGGACAGATAGGGATAGTTGTGTGAAGTGTGGAACAGACTAGTCCATGGCGCCAACATCTGGAAATGGTAAGATTTCAGCTTGGTGTGCAGATCTTTTCAAAGGCAGTGAGCAGCCCGTCCCTGGGAAGATGCAGGCAGAGAGGACGTGAGCTGTGGCCTGGATGCGCAGGGTCTAAGTGGGAGAGGGGGCCGGGTCCCCGGAGACCTCCTGACGCCCCGGCAAAGGCTTCATGGGCCTGTCCTCTTCTCTCCTGCCTCCCTCTGTCCACATCGCCGTGCTCTGTATTCTTCTTCGCCCTGTACCTGACTCTCCTGACCGATTTGAAAAAGCTGTGTGTCCAGCTCTACCTCAGATTGACATGTGACATGTCAATGACTTTAGACCATGTCACTGGGTGATTTTGTCCAAACGGAGCCTCATTGTAGGGTTTCGAGGGAGCCATCACCTCTCTTTTCCCATCCCTAAGAGTGGGGAGGAGAGATGACCTTGAGCAAGCAGGTGTCACGCCAGGGATTGGTCATCCATCGTGTCATCCTCACCTGGGGACCATCACCACACTATACAGGGGAGGAGGCTGTCTCAGAGAGGCTCACACGCCGTGCCGGGGAGAACCAGGAGTCAAGCCTCGCACATCCCCGGAGTTCCCCGCCAGCAGCCGCTGTAGCCTCAGACTTACCCCACTGACTCAGCAGCACCATGGGCCTTTGGGGAGACGAGTCCTCCCTGATGTCAGGGGGGCCGAAATCACTTGGTTTCTCGACATCCTCAGTCCATCAGCCAGTTGGATTATATGTCCAAGCTGGGCTGGTTCTTGGGACCCTTTGGTCTGGAGCCCAGGGTCCTGGGTTTGGTCCTGGTTCCATCTCTTACCTTTGGTGTGACCTCACAGCCATTTGCATTTCAGGACCTTTTCTCTGTGACTGCCCTCTCTGTGTCCCAGAGCTGGAAGGATGCAGTAAGATCACGTGTGTGACGCTCCATGGACCAGCTGCCGTCACACAGGGCTCTTTAATCTCCTCCGCAGAGAGGCAGTGAGAAAGCATCCCAACATAAAAGAGCCATTGACATGTCACAGTCGATGACGGTGGTGGTGGCAGCACACATGAGGCACCAATGGATGGAATGAGGTTGAGTTGATGGAGCACGTGACTCGTTTAAGGAAACTCTGTTTATCCAAGGACACCTCCGAGTGGCGCCATGCCTTCCCTGCCTTCAGCTTTCCCATGGGCACATGTCTGACTGATGTTTGGGTGGTGGAATGAAGAGAAGGTGCTGGCTGTTTATCCATGTTGCTGGGAGATGCTCCTCTGTGGTCTAGAAAGAGAGAGAGTTGACGTCCCTCGAGGGGGCGTCTTCGGCTCAGACAGGCCAGGCCAGATGAATGCCATCAGGGATGCACAGCTGATGGGTTCCCTGCCTTGTCCAAGGGGAGCTCACCTCCAGGACCATCATCTTTGCAAACGGCCCTCCTTCCTGAGTCAGCTTCCTCCTCAGGATAGGAAGGCAGGCAGGGTGTGGGCCTCAGCCACTCCTGAGCTTGGCGAATGCCCGACCTTGGGGAGAGCTCCCGGGTTGGGGCAGCATTCCCGCTGCTTTCTCCGGACGACCTTTCCGTAGACTCAGTGCTTCAAGGGAGGGAAGGGCGGCCGTTCCACATAGGTGGACACGCAGAGCGCGGAAGCAGACACATGTGGTTCACGCGTGGGTGTGAGCCAGGCGAGGATGGGGGCAGTGTCCCACCTTTGTCCTTCTGCATGGGTTTTCTGAAGCTGAGGTTCCGAGAACTCCCCGCCTCAGCTGACTCACGCCATGAGGAAGATCCACTAGCTCCCTTCACCGGAAGGCCTAGGTGGCTTGTGGCTCCGTGTGGTCAATGGCGGGCAGATTCTGTCCCCCTGTCCTCTGCCATCCCCATCCTGTCAGCTTCACCCGTAGACTTGACCCCTCACGGCCCCACGGCGGCGGTGATCCTAGGTGCAGAGGTGTCACCTCTTTTGGGAATTGCTGAGGAGGTCTTTCCTTGAAGCCCCCAGGGACGTCTCCTCATGTCCCACTGGCAAAGGCATGGATGAGGTGACTGCCTGAGAGGGCCATGGTTTACTCCTTCGTCCTGTGGAGGAAGAGGGGGCGTTGGGCCGGACGGTGGCTCTGCCAGCAAGGAACATGGCGGGGATGGCTCTTGTATGTGAGCAACTAGTAATGTCTGCATCCGTGAGGCTCTGAGGCCGTGGGGGCCTGGACTTCTGGTTAACAGAGCGGCTCTGGGCCTCTTCCATTGCCCTCAGTTTAGGGATGCCTTGTTCCCCTGCTGACTGGACACTCCTTGGAGGCAGGGCCCATCTCTCCTACGTCTTTGACTCCCCTCCTGCAATTCTTCCTGTTTCTGGCAGTGCTGGGCACACAGGAAGCACGTGACAAGTACTTGCTGTTAAGAAGAAGAGTAGCCACATTGACTAGGTACTTAGTGTGTGCCGGGTGCTCTGCTAAGAGCTTTATAAGTATGGCCACCTGGCCGCATTATCGAAGGACTGAAGGGAAATGATGTGGGGTTTGGGGGGTCCTGGAGAGAAACTTCCCTTCCCAGAACTCCTGTTGTCTTTGAAGGCCTTCAGGACCAGGGAGCATCGTCCTCATGGTCGGTGGGAGCCTCTAGGACTTCCAGTGCCAGGAAATCCTCCCTCAGGTCCAAGTGGGATCTGTCTGCCTCCCTCTAACCTCGAGTCCGGTTCCAGAGCAACGCAGGCGGCCTGCAGAGCCCTGCCGAGCTGTCCGAGAGCAGCCGGCACCTCCCAGCTCTCTCCCTGCCGTGCGCGCAGCAATCTTCATGTTAACTGTTCTCATCCTTGCAGGCACTGGGACCGGTGACTGTCCTGGTTGTCTCCCCCCACCCCTGGACACTGCGCTGTGTACAGATGGGCCCTTCGTTCTTTGGTGGCCCTAAGTGGGCACAGGGCTCCATGCGGCCTGAGCAGCCTGGAGTCTGAGCGTGCCTGTCCTGTGTTGGCAGCGGCACCAGCTGCGGGCTCATCGTTAGCCGCTGCCGAGTGTGGTGTGGCTCAGTGTACGGACCCGGAAGTGCTCTGGCCACAGGGCACCAACTGGGAACATATACTAAGTTGTACCAGGCGCACTTCGGGGTGACAGCAGAAGGGATACCCAGTGTTTGTTTGTTTGTTTATTTATTTATTAATATATTTTATTGATTTTCTACAGAGAGGAAGAGCGAGGGATAGAGAGTTAGAAACATCGATGAGAGAGAAATATCGATCAGCTGCCTCTTACACACCCCCTACTGGGGATGTGCCCACAACTAGGGTACATGCTCTTGACCGGAATCGAACCCGGGACCTTTCAGTGCGCAGGCCGACGCTCTATCCACTGAGCCAAACCGGTTTTGGAGGGATGCCTAGTATTTAAATATAGGAGGACGCTTCGTTTTCTGCTGCTTGGACCGTGTCATTCCTGATCTGCAGATGAGGAAGCTCAGGCTTGGTCAGTTCTCCGAGCCTCGCTTTCCGTCCCTCTAACAACCTTTGTCCACCTCGCAGGGCATCTGGGGCACTGACCCCTCAGACTCCTCTGTCCAGTACCCTCCCTCGCCTCTGCCTGCAGAGCACCACAGGCCCAGAGCCTGTGAAAGCCCTCTGCAGACTGTAGTGATTAGCATGTAGGCGAGAGAGAGAGAGAGAGAGAGAGAGAGAGAGAGAGAGAGAGAGAGAGGAGCGAGGAGAGCCTGGCGTGTGTCTACAGATCCCACTGAGGCAGTGGGGTCATCTGGAGAGGCCTGGCTCCAACCCTCAGGCCCCGCTCCCCTGCTGTCCCCACAGAGGGCCATCCGTGTGCGCAGCCACTCCATGGAGACCATGGTGACCAGCCAGAAGAAGCCGCACGGCGGGGGCCTCCCCGGCAGCCTCAGCGGCGGCATCTCCCACAACAGCGTGGAGGTCACCAAGACCACCTTCTCGGTGAGTGTCTGCAGGCCCTGGGGTCCCCCAGGCCGTGGTGGGGGGAGGGGTGTGTTCACCCAGGCCTGGGCCAGGGGATCAGCAGGGCGAGCTGGATGATGGGGAGGGAGACTGAGGCTGCCTAGGCCCGACCCCCACCCCCCAGCCAGGCAGCACTGGCGGCTGGCGCAGACCGGAGCCCACCTGTTGTCCTGCTCTCTGAGTTTCCTTGTCGCCTGGGCCTCCTCAGGACCAGCCCGTGAGAGGGCCCTGCCTTTGTTATTCCTGATGACACGCAGCTGCCCCCGCCTGCTGTGCACCGGGCACTGAGCGAAGTAACTCCTGGGTCCCTGTGACACTGAGGGAGGTGCTGAGTGCTCTCCTTCGCACATGGGCGGAAGGGGAGGCCCCGAGGGGTTAGGTAATTTGCTGGAGGTCACCCAGCGAAGCCAGAAGGACTGGGATTTGGGTGTACATCGCCCAGATCCTAAGTCTCCGCTCTTCATCGCTGTATGTACAGCTCTAAGAGAGGACAGCCCGGCCGGCCCAGGGGTTTGGGTCTGGTCAGCTTGCACCAGGAGCTGGCCAGGTGCGGGGACCAGAGTCCCTCCTTCTGTAAAGCGAAGGGGCTTTGTATTTGTGCACGTTGGGGTTTTCTTGCCCTTTTTTGTACTAGTAGAACACACCGACCACGGCACTGACCACTGGTATTGTAAACGATCGTGTATGATGCATTTGAGGGTCTGGGAAGGGATCGGGGCAGGGCACTTACCTCCAACCTGTGGGTGAGACCGAGGCCCAGAGAATTCTCCCACTTTTTGCCCAAGGTTGCACCATGTGCAAACGGCGAACATGGGGCCTGCCTGGCTTAGAGGCCTGGGGGGCGCCCGTCCCCACCTCCCATTCTGCTGCCCTCCCCCGCCGGCATCTCCCGCGCGCGGCAGAAGCAGAGCCACATGCGTGGCAGCCCCCTGTGGGTGCCTGCCTGAGGGTGCGTGTGGACCGCATGCTGTCCTGTCGGGGATTTGTGACCCAGACCCAGTGCCCTCGCCCCTCCTCTCCTCCACGTCCTCCTCAGTAAAGCGAGAAATTGCACCGGGTCGCTCCCAGGACTCTCTCAGCTTTTGGGTCCCAGTCTGTGACCCCCCTCGGTCATTCTGTCCTCTCAGTACGTGGGTTCTCCTTAGGGTGGCCCTGACCCCACGTTCCTCCAAGGATTCTGTTCTAGCGGATTGTTACCTGGGGCCATAAGCATTGGGCTAAGAACATGGGAAAACACGCCTTCCCTGCAGGCGGCTTGGGCCGACAGACCCCACCCTTCCCAGCTGTCGTGTTTCCGGGGTCCCTCCAGACCAGTTGTGGGGTGGGAGGAGGTGCCCAGGCTCTGTGGACCGGAAAGGGGGTGAAGGGAAGGGACCGGGTGTGGGGAGTGAGCGCTCATGTTGGCGGTTGCCTTGGCAGCCTCCGGTGGCGGCGGCAACTGCGAAGAACCAGTCGCGGAGCCCCATCAAGCGGAGGTCGGGGCTCTTCCCCCGTCTGCACACGGGCTCTGAAGGCCAAGGGGACAGCCGGACACGGAGGTGAGTGTCCAGCCTGGCCTGGGTGGGCGCCCTCGGAGGGCTGCGGGCAGCGTCAGCTTCGAGCTATGGCTTCCTTCGAACCCTGGTCCCCACATCAGGCCCCCATGTCCCCATCACTCATTCAGTGCTTCCTCCCCCTTGTCCCCGTCACTCATTCAGTGCTTCCTCCCCCTTGTCCCCGTCACTCATTCAGTGCTTCCTCCCCTATGTCCCTGTCACTCATTCAATGCTTCCTCCCCTATGTCCCTGTCACTCATTCAGTGCTTCCTCCCCTATGTCCCCATCACTCATTCAGTGCTTCCTCCCCTATGTCCCTGTCACTCATTCAGTGCTTCCTCCCCTATGTCCCTGTCACTCATTCAGTGCTTCCTCCCCTATGTCCCTGTCACTCATTCAGTGCTTCCTCCCTCATGTCCCTGTCACTCATTCAGTGCTTCCTCCCCTATGTCCCCGTCACTCATTCAGTGCTTCCTCCCCTATGTCCCTGTCACTCATTCAGTGCTTCCTCCCTCATGTCCCCCTTTGAGCCGCACTGTTTAAGTGAGTGAGTTGTATGCGGATTGTATGTCCATGAAGCTGTCATGAACATAAAAGTACATTAGGGACAGGGCCCCAACAGTGGGCACTGAGCAACTGGTGGGCAGGTTTGCGGCATTTGTTAAGCTGTGGAAGGGAAGCCGTGGCCCTGGCTGGGAGCAGCCTGTTTGCCCAGAAGCCCTTCCCAGCTATCAGCACACGCATCCGGGAGCCATTTGTGGTCTGTGTGAAGGGCGCCCCCTGGCCTTCTGCAGCAGCCGAGGCCCCGCGGGGTGCGTGTGCGCTGGCTGTGATGCTGGATGGCCCAGACCTCACTCCACTCCCTCTGTGGCCTGCCCTTACCTAGAGCTCTGCCAGCTGGGATGGACTTGGGCTCGGGGGCATCAAGCCAGGACTCCTGCCTGGTAGCTCTGGACCCTCACCCAGGAGCCTGCAGGGGAGGGACCTGGCAAAGCAGAAAGCCCTGTTCTCTGAGGGGGCGTGGGTGGGAGAGGTGGCCTGGTGGCTGTGCTTTGTCGGGGATGCTGTGACCCCACAGGCCCCCTTGGTGCAGTCTCGGGCCTGGGTGAGGTGGGAGTGGGGAACCGGCTCACCCCTCTTCATCCTCATCTCTTCAGTGACAGTGCATCCAGCAACCCCAAGACTGTGGACGGCGGGCACTCTTCGCAGGAGATAAAGTCCGAGACCTCGTCCAACCCCAGCTCCCCGGAGATCTGTCCCAGCAAGGAGAAGTAAGAGTGCGGCCGGGAGGCCGGGAGGCCGGCTCTCGCCCCGCGGGCCCTGGAATGGGTCTCTGCTCCGACACCTCCCGCTTGGGGGACTCCCTGGGACGCACCAGCCAGCAGGCAGGGCATGGGGAGACACTCTGTCTCTGGGGTCCTGCCCTGCCTCGGCCCCCTCGTGTGACCAGGGCCGCCTTCCCGCCCCTGCAGGCCCTTCATGAAGCTGAAGGAGAACGGCCGGGCCAACATCTCCCGCTCCTCCTCCAGCACCAGCAGCTTCAGCAGCACGGCCGGGGAGGGCGAGGCCATGGAGGAGTGTGACAGTGGGGTAGGTGCGGCCTGGCCAGCCTGGCCGTGGGGAGGCCCACCGCTCCTCCATGTGTTAAAACAGCTCCTGGTGGCAGAGCCCCTCCAGGCTTAGAGGGAGGGGGGGAGGGGGCAGGCGGCGCTGGAGGGAGTATGGAAGCAAGAGGTGACCCACTCAGCCGTTTCCACCCTCTGGGAGCGGCGGTTTGGGGTCTCCCTGGGGTGACAGGGGAGCAGCAGCGGCAGAGGGTCAGAGGTCAGGCTGAGCGTGTCCCTGCCGTGGGGTTCTGGGACGGTGAGGAGAGAGATCAGCGCTGCCTGAGTGTGGTCAGGGGCCCTGCCTGGGGCTGGAGGGAGCCAGGGCTGAGGCCGCGGGAGGAAAGAGCGTGTCCACGTGGGCACTGGGGGGCCGTGGGGGGCCGTGGGGGGAAGTGGGGGGCCGTGGAGGCCGTGGGGGGCCGTGGGGGTCAGGGGCTGCCAGGTCTGCTGAGGGTGGGCCCGCCTCGCTCACCCAGCCTCTCTCCCCAGAGCAGCCAGCCGTCCACAACCTCGCCCTTCAAGCAGGAGGTGTTTGTCTACAGCTCGTCCCCAAGCAGCGAGAGCCCCAGCCTGGGGGCGGCCACCACGCCCATCATCATGAGCCGGAGCCCGACAGGTTGGTGTGTGCCCCGTGGCCGGGCCCTGAGCACTGTGTGTGGGGCGCCAGCCCGGCGTCCGGAACTGGCGGGTCTCGGTCCAACCCCGGTGTGAGGCCTCGAACGCCGGTCCCTCACTGCGTCTGCCCCGCATCCGCCTTTGGGGCCTGTTCTCATCCTCCCGTTACTCCCGGGAATGAGCTCAGAGAGGCCGAGTTCCTTCCACGGACCTCTCGCCCCTCCCCATCTCCGACTCGGGGCCCCCATCACAGCGATGGTCCTCCGAGTGCAGGTGCCGGTGGGGAGAGCGCTGCAGGTGGAGGGAACAGCACATGAGAGGCCCGCAGGGAACTGAGAGGCTGTGATCTGGAACCACACGTGGGTCAGGGGGCTGGAGTTCACAATGGTGGCAGGACAGGTGAGAGAGGGGACAGTGGTTAGGGGCCAGGGCCAGGGGGACAGGGGACAGGTGAGAGGGGACAGTGGTTAGGGGATGGGGACAGGGGGACAGGGGACAGGTGAGAGGGGACAGTGGTTAGGGGACAGGGCCAGGGGGACAGGGGAGAGGGGAGACAGTGTTAGGGGCCAGGGCCAGGGGTTCAGGGGACAGGTGAGAGGAGGCCATGGTTAGGGGCCAGGGCCAGGGGTTCAGGGGACAGATGAGAGGAGGCCATGTTTAGGGGCCAGGGCCAGGGGGACAGGGGACAGGTGAGAGGGGAGGCCGTGGTTAGGGGACAGGGCCAGGGGGACAGGAGAAGGTGAGAAGGAGGCCATGGTTAGGGGACAGGGCCAGGGGGACAGGGGAGAGGGGAGACAGTGTTAGGGGCCAGGGCCAGGGGTTCAGGGGACAGGTGAGAGGAGGCCATGGTTAGGGGCCAGGGCCAGGGGTTCAGGGGACAGATGAGAGGAGGCCATGTTTAGGGGCCAGGGCCAGGGGGACAGGGGACAGGTGAGAGGGGACAGTGGTTAGGGGACAGGGCCAGGGGGACAGGAGAAGGTGAGAAGGAGGCCATGGTTAGGGGACAGGGCCAGGGCTGCTCCTGGTGAGGATCTGGGCTCTGTCCTGCAGGCAGTGGGAGCCATGGGGAGGTCTTAAGTCTCTGAGGGTTCCTAAGCAGAGAAGCGCCATCTGGGGTTGAGAAAGACCGTTTTGTGGCTGCAGCAGGGCCAGGAGAAGGACTGGTGGGAGCAGGTGCAGGGGGAAGATCCGAGAGGGTCACGGTGAGTGGTGGGGGTGATGGGCATGGATTGTGGGGTGAGGGAGCATTGGATTGGAGAGAAGCCAAGGAGGTAAATCTTCGGGGCTCAGTAGCGGGGGCTTCAGAGAGAGCAAGGAGTCTGGGCCTTGGGGTCCTGGGATCCCTGCAGTTGGACAGAGTAGGAGGAGCGGCTCTGGGGAGAGGGTGAAGGTTGGCACCTGAGGGGCATGTGCCTGGCAGGCACTGATGGGCTCTGTGGGTGCCCAGAAGTCAGAGCCTTGGTCCCGCCCTCCGGGAGGGCAGCACGGTGGGGTGAGGGCAAGCACAGGACCCTGGTCCACCACTGACGAGCGATGTGACACTGGACACGTTCCTCAGCCTTCCCAGGCCTCAAATACCGGGAGAACTTTCCGTGTTATTCGTAATGCTATAGACACATACGCTTCCACGTTGCGTCTATATTACTAATATTCTCTCCATCAGTTTCTGAAGTCTCGGCAACAAAACAGCAGATCAAGTTGATTTGTAGCATCTGCTGATCTCAAGCCACCGACGTGACTGACGTAAATAACCTTAAAAGAATAGGGAATGGTAAAATACAGTGAAATAACGAGGAAGCGATGGCTTTTGAGTATTTATTACCTTTGACGAATATCACTTAATTCTAAGCTTATAATTGATTTTTTAAAATTAATCCTCACTGGAAGATATTTTTTCCATTGATATTTTTTTTAGAGAGAGTGGAAAGGAGGGAGGAAGAAAGAGAGAGGGAGAGGAACATTGATGTGAGAGAAATACATTGATGGGTTGCCTCCTGCATATGCCTCAAAGTAGGGCCGGGGATCAAACCTGCAACCCAGGGACATGCCCCTGACAAGGAATAGTGCAGGCTGCGGCTCTAACCATTGAGCACACAAACCAGGGCTAAGCTTGTGACTGTGTGTGTAACAAGCAGCTCACGACATTTGTAAAAATGTAAGGGTTGGCTCTTGTGAATTGATGCGTCTGATAGTGTCTCCCTGCCCAGTCCCCCAGCAGCCCCTGCCTGCCACAGCCTCACCCTCTCCTTGGGCATTCTTCTTTCTCCTAGATGCCAAAGGCAGAAATTCCCCGAGGTCAAACCTGAAATTCCGCTTTGATAAGCTCAGCCACGCGAGCTCCAGTGCAGTAAGGACCTAGGGGTGTGGGGGCGTCAGGGGGAGCCTCCTGCATCCCACATCCCACCCTCTTCCCAGCCAGCCTTCCTTCCTGGGGCCTGTCACAGTGGGGCAGGGGGGGGGGGCGGGGGGTTTGGAGGAACCTCTGGTCCCATGGGGGTGGGGGGGGTGAGGCTGTGGGTCCCGCGTGGTGCGGGCAGCAGCCTGGGGGTCGCCAGCCACCTCTGCCTCGCGCCCCGTGTGAGAGCCACACCCTCGGACACACAGACGTGAGCTGTGAACCGTTGGCTCCTGGGGCCTCGGATCCCTTCTGAGCTGCCCGGAGAGCGGAGAGCTGGGCGCGCGGAAGGTGCCGTCGGCAGGGGTTATGTTGCCTCGTTTTATAAAACTCTCACATGGGTTTTCCTTGGAACAGGGTCACTAATGCGAAGAGGAGACTTCGCCTGTCAAAGGTGGGTCAGGTGTTTGTTCTGCGGTGGCCGCGGGGCCTGCTGACCCAACACTGTCCCGAGGCCCTGCCGGCCGGGAGGGTAGTCGCCTCTTCTGAAGCCTCTGTGCTGGGCCGGGATGGGAGGGAGACGGCGGCCTCCGTGTGGATGGGAAGGTTGTGTGGGTCTGGGCCGGACTCACTGAGTCGGTCCCCTTGCCCCAGAGGAGCCTGGCTGGGCCAGTCCCCCAGCGCTGCTTCCTCTCCTGGAGGGAGAGGCGTCCGTCCGTCCGTCAGCCCCTGCCTCTCTGCCATCAGCGGCCTTTCCCAGGGCCCTGGGCTGAGCTCTCCTCCCCGGGTGCCCAGAGACGCCTCAGCACCCTAACCACTGCGCCGCCCGAGGGAGGACCCTGCTGGCAGCCACAGCCAGTCCGGGGCAGGCAGGAGAGTGTGGCTTTCAGCAGATCAGGCCTGGGCCCAGCTCCCCCCCGAGGCCCGAACGTGTGCTGGTGAATTAGCAGAGATCCCCTGATTCCCCCTGCTACGGGGCTGCAGGGCTGAGGTTCCAGTTGGGACCAAGGGGAGGAGGGGCAGAGCTGAGCCCATTTGCACAAACCTCATCTGTAAAAAGGCAGGTGAGCTGGGGGTGCCGGCACACTCACTCCCATCCTGCACCGCAGACCCTGCTCACCAGGTTCCCGCCGACGCCAGCCTGCTCTGCGGTCTGACGCCGGGCGCCCTGGGTGGGCCCCTCCTGTCCCAGCATATCCACGGGCTATGGCCGTGGGCACCCGTGTCCGCCCTTCCTTCCTCCACCCAGTGTCTGATCGCCTCCCCCCTTCTTGTCTCCTCCAGGGAACCCCGATTCTGTCTTGGAGAAGGCTCCGATCCCAGCAGTCTGGGGGTGCCATTCACTACTCTGACCGTCACAGGCCTGTGGCTCCGTCGGCCACCTGCTCGCCAGACCGACCAGCTACCTGTCCCAGTGCCCCGACCGGCACAGCCCCGCCCGCTCCTTTGCCAAGACACCCTGCCAGCCCCTCGCCCTCTCTGGACAAGGCCTCATTCCTCCGGGCTTCCCTTCTCCTGATCCCTCACGTGCTGTGTGTCTGGGTCACTTGTTACCTCGTTTTTGTCTGCGGCAGCCAGCGTTGGGTGAACGGGGGGTCTTGGTACTGGGGACTCAGAGAGCCGAGAGGCCGAGCCTGGTGGGGGTGGGGGGAGAGCAAAGGGTCCTGCGAAGAGGCATTTTGTGAGCTGGAGGGAGCACTTTTCCAGGAGCCGACTCTGTAGCTCCTTGAAGATGTCGGCTGGTGGAAGCCAGCTCTGTCGCTCCCACGTTTCTGGAGCTCCCAACATCTGTTTGCGTCTGTGCTAGGAGCTTCTTCCCCCCTGCCCACAGCAGCTGCCGGCCGGGGCCTCTGTCCCTGCTGCCTGGGCCTGGCCTGGTGAAGCTGCCCCAGGGCTGGGCGTGTGGGAGCGGCCTCGTTCACGCAGGCTCCCGTGGGGTTGCTGTGGGAGAGGCCGGAGCCAGTCTCTCCTTTGGAGCAGATGCTTTTTCCACGGAGGGGTGGGTGCCAGGAGAGGAGGCGCTGGGAGGGAGCGAGGCAGTGAGCGCCTGGGCCTCGGCTGGAGACCCTGAGACCCAGGCCAGGCCAGGATCCCTGTCCCTGCTGGTGGCGGAGGTTCGTAGGTTCGTTGGTGAGAGCGGGGAGGGGAGATGGGAGGACTCAGGTGCAGTCAGGCCTTGGCGAGGAGGGAGGACTCAGGTGAGGAGAAGGGGCAGCTCCTTCTGCGTTTATGTTCTGGGATCTCTGGGATGTCCAGTGCTGCCTGGGGGCTGTGCCCTTTGTCTGTCAGGCTCAATCTCCGACCCCCTCTCCTCTCCCCCTTTCCCACGGCGGGTGTACAGCTGCCACACGGTGGGATTCCTGCAGCCCGGGCCCCGGCTGGTGCAGCTGAAACACCGCCTGCCAGGGCCCTCAGCCACAGCCACCGCCCGGGGTGAGCCAGCGTGCTCTCTGCGGGCAGCCCCCTCCTGGCTGCTCCCGCCCCGAGTCCTCGGTGGGGGTTTCCGGGTGTCCTCCAGGTAGAGCGGAGTCTGAGGAGCAGACCCTCGGAGGTGCCTTGGTTTCAAGTGCACCCGGGCCCCTGGGCCTCGGGCGGCCGGGGCGTTGACGGGCAGCGGGCAGGGTTCTCCAGCCCAGTCAGTGCTTCATCTGCTTCGGATCTGGGCTTCTTCCTGAGCCAAGGCCTATAAGCATCACACCTGCTTCTGGGGCCACGTCCCCGCTGTGTTGGCAGGGAGAGCAAAGCCTCGGCCCTTTGTCCCCCGCGCAGGTGGGCCCTGTGGGACCCCGTCTGCAGGCCGCGGGGCCTCTCCCCTCACACCGGCTGGGAGACGTGTTCACGTAAAGCCGTAGCCCCGTGGAGTTTGTTCCAGTCAGAAGGTCAGCAGACGTCTGCGTGGCGCTGATTAAATGTTCCCGCAGCGGCACCGAGAGCTGCAGGTCCTGGCGGCGCCCGCTGGCTGGGTTTCTGGAGGAACTTGGAAGGTCCAATTGCATTTCTTTAAAAACAACCCCAGGCTCTGGCTTGCTTCTCTGGAGAGCTGGTGTTTGCAGCTGCTGGGTGGTGGTGCTGTGCTCGTGGTCGGGGCGGGAGGGGTGGAGGGTGGGGGGGGCGGGGGGGGCGGGGGTCCTCTGGGGTTTCCAGGGAGTCCCTATTCTGTCCTGCTTGGGAACCTCATACCCACCTTCCCCCACCGCTCGCCCCCCACCTCCCCCTTCAGACCCCGCCTTTCTGGAGGGCCTTGCTCCTGCCTCTGAGCCCGGGGCCAGGCGGGCTGGGCGTGTCCCGGAAGCCAAGAGGCACAGGTCCTGCCCCTGGAATCGCAGGCTGAGCAGTGGGTCTGCCCTCTGCTCACGGGGTGCCTGGGAAGGATCTGAAGGGTCCCTCCCTCTGAGTCTGCGTCACCATCTTTAACAAGTCCATCCTGTAGCTTCCAGAGTTTAATGGCCAGGGTGAGGGGGGAGGAGAGGGGCCCACAGCCGCCCCCGCCCTCGGACCACGGGGCAGGCAGCTCGCGTGCCTGGACAGTCTCCTTGCACCTGCTCTGGCCTCAGATGTCTTTCCTTTTATTGCTGCGCCCAGTCTTGGGGCTCAGAGATGTGCAGAAGCCTCATGGGTCCTTGTGACTAGACTCGCCCCCATGGTGCTCATGCTGGTACCCGAGGGGCTCCCCCCCCGCCCCCACACAGAGGAGGAGTGTTTCCCGCTCGCCCCTCTGGCTCCGGAGGACACTGCCTGTGGGCTCTGCGGGCACCCGGGTGCCTCTGCTCAGACGATGCTTAAAAACAAGGCGGGAAGAGCTGCTGCGAGGTCTCGGCTGGGGTTTCTGTCATGAGTGTTTCCTGAGGACGATTCCGTGGTTCAGCCTTGCTGGGAGCATCTTGCTGTCCGTGCCTCCTGGGCTTCTTTTAGCATCGAATCCAGCCAGTGCATCGTCCGGAGGAGAAGCCGCAGCCCCTGGGAGGGGAGCGTCACTTGTGAGGCCCCCTAACCAGCCAGCGGCAAAGCCGGGCCGAGGGCACGCAGCCCAGGCCTGTTCCCGGCACCGCCCTCGTGGCAGCGGGTGCCGGGGACATGAGCTGTGGGAGCTGAGGAGCTGGGTCTGGGCCCTGGCTGGGGGTGTGAGCCGCCCAGGGTGCTGGTGGGGCTGTCCCAGGGTGCTGGGGCCCTGGGGCTCTGGGTGCAGCTTCAGGCCTGGAAGATGGGGCGGGAAGACAGATCTCAGTGGCTTGTTCCCCTGTGACATCGGCCCTTCACCTCCGGGTGTCAGGGAGGTGGAGGCCAGGGCGTCGTCGACGCAGTCATCCGGCCCTCCGTTTCCTCCTTTTCAGCTAAGAAAACCCTTCGATTCTCCCCGATCCTTAAGCCACGTTGGTTAGTAAACATGTAGACGCAGGTGACCGGGTGGGACGGGAGGGAGCCAGCTTCGGCTTCTCGCCCTGACGGTTTAAGGTGCCAACGCAAACACTACCTTCTTCACTCAGTCGTGAGGCGCCAGAGGCGGGTCGGTGGTGGTGGTGGTGGGGGGTGGCTGGGGTTCAGGCAGATCTTAGGGCTGCAGGTGTCTGGCAGGGACCTGGCCGCTCAGGACCCCACGGCTCCTCCCAGCCTCTGGCCACCCCTCCCTCAGGGCGAGGTGGGTCAGAGGGGTTTGCCAAGCCTGACCCGCAGCCTGGGGCATTCTCTACAAGCTCTGATACCTGATTCATCACGAGCCCCTTGCCCCAAGTGTCCCAAACCCACGTGCCCCCCCCCCCCTTTAGCCGGGCCGTGGGCCCTGGGGGAGGAGGAGACAGCCCCCAGCAGGGCCAAGGACGGGGGGCCCTGCCCGGGGAGAGGTGCTGGGGCAGCGGCTCTGCTCTGTGCCTTACCAGCCCCGGGGGCAGGGTGTCTGGCGGGAAGGCTGGAACTTCAACGCTGTTGTCTTTGACCTTGTGACATTTCCGCTCCGAAGGGTCAGTGCCCCCTACGCCCCGCTCCTTCGCATGTGCGCCTGCGCTCCCGGTCATGCGCTCCCCTCCCGCACCCCGGCCCGGGGGAGGCCAGAGGGGTGCCGCTTGGACCTGAGGCCCCCCGTTTTGGTGACTCCCCTTCCCTCTTCCTGAGGGGGTGACGTGTGGACCCTGACTGCCTATGTCCTGTAAATAGTGTACATTTAATTTATTGCTATGGTAGCACATTGTATTTGTTAATGTATAAAACAAAATTCTAAGAGGTTGACAAATGTATATTTTGTTGCTTAAACGTGTCTTTGCAGAAATTGACAATAAATAACATATTTTGTGTCCATCCGTGTTCGGACTTCTTTGCTCGGGGCCCCACCCCCCAGCCAGCGTCGCCTGCTAGCTCACCGGAGGTCGGAGACTGGCAGCCCCCGGGCCGTGTGGGGCCCTCAGATGTGCTACTTGAGCCTAAAAAGTGTTTTACAATCTCCCAGTGAGTTGCTGATGTTTAAAAAACCAGACTACAGCCCGGCCGGCGTGGCTCAGTGTTTGAGGGTCAACCCGTGAACCAGGAGGACACCGCTGGATTGCCCGTCAGTCGGGCGTGTGCCTGCGTTGTGGGCTCCATCCTCACTGTGGGGCACTCGGGAGGCAGCCCGTCAGTGATTCTCTCTCATCATTGATGTTTCTCTCTCCCTCTCCCTTCCTCTGCGTAATCAACAAAACTATATTAAAAATAAACAAAATACCGACTACAAACATTTTTTTAAGACCTAGAAGGTCACAGAAACTTCCCGCTTCTGTCACGAGTCCGATGAGACATCCCCGCCCGCGGAGTGGCTGGGCTTGCTCAGCGCTTACAGAGGCGCCTCGGTGGGGCCTGTGCACAGAAGTTCCCTCGGTGACAGCTGGAGCATCTCACCCTCTCCTGCTTCTGCTCGGCCCCGCCCCGGTGGGTGTCTGAGTTGGAGACCCCTGCCAATCACCGATGTGTCCTCAACCTGGGGCTTTCTCCTCCTGCCCACTTTCTCTCCGGAGTCCCAGTTTTTATTTCTCCAGGGATTCTTTCATGATGAAGTGCCCTCCCTCCTGTCCCCTCTGACTCCGAATGGCCCCACCACACTCTTACATAGATACCCTTCGTTTTATAATGTTTGGATTGCGTGTGTGTGTGTGTGTGTGTGTGTGTGTGTGTTTTCCCTTAAGCAGGCCTTTGTATATTGGTTGTGTGATCTTGGGCACATTTAAAAAATATATATATATATTTTATTGATTTTGTACAGAGAGGAAGGGAGAGAGAGAGAGAGTTAGAAACATCGATGAGAGAGTCATCGATCAGTTGCCTCTTGTACACCCCCTACTGGGGATATGCCCGCAACCAAGGTACATGCCCTTGACCGGAATCGAACCCGGGACCCTTCAGTCCCCAAGCCGATGCTCTATCCATTGAGCCAAACCGGTTTCGGCAGATCTTGGGCACATTTTGTAACCTCTTGGATTTGCATTTTCTCCTGTGTGTCATTGGAAAAACCATCTACAAGGGAAGCACGAGGAGAGAAATGGGTTTATCATTGGGAAAGAGCTTTGAAAAAAAAACCCCGGCAAGTGTTATTCAAGCGCCTGAGGTTCCAGGATGATTGTTATTGTGATAACTGGAACAGCAGCTGACATGTGTTGGCTGTTAGCACGAGCTTAAGTGTTTCCCATATTCAGCCGGTTTTCCTGTAACACGATATATTCGTTCCTAAAAGAAATCACAACACTATGCAAAGTTGTGCAAGTGGGAAAAACAGAGCCAGGGACATAACAGAAACACGGTCAGTGACACATAAAAATAAAAGTTCGTTCACTAGTCCTGGTCCATGTGGCTCAGCTGGTTGGAGAGTCCTCCTGTACACCTAGAGGTTGCCAGTTCGATTCCCTATCACGGCACATGAATATCATGGTTGTGGGTTTGATCCCTGGTTGGGGTACGTATGGGAGGTAACTGACCAGTGTTCCTCTCACAGTTCTCTCTCTCTCTCTCTCTCTCTCTCTCTCTCTCTCTCTCTCTCTCTCTCAAAATCAATGGACATATCCTTGGGGGAGGCTTAAAAAAAAATTTATGGTTGGTGAAGGCCTAGGGCAGGAGGGGGGAGGGAAAGGGGAGGGATGGGCTGGAGGGGGTCCATGGGGGAAAAAGTGGAACATATGTAATTCTTTCAACAATGAAGATGAAAAGAACAAATAAAAAAAAACTTGCTTTTAGATTTGGAAATTGCATTTTTGAAAATTATCAAGTAGGTTCTATTGTAATTCAAATAAAGCAGCATTGCTAATTAAAAACATTCATTCACTACCAAGTGGAAACGGCGGCACAGTTTTCCACGTTAGAGGACTAGGAAATGTATGAA